AATAATGAGGAATTTTGAACAATCGTTGATTATACTTATACGAGTCTATCACACTCATCACATAATAAAATCATAAATATATACAACTGGCGATACGATAAAATTCACTTTAAACAGCTAAGAAATCATCAAACGTAGTCAATAATGTGAGATGGAATTTTAAAAAATGCCATATATATAGCACAAGGATCTGTACATGTGGTCGCTTTTGCAGAGGTTGATTTGGGAATGTCTGCGCGAGGCGCCGATACTCGTGCATTTGGCCTTAGTGGGCCAGTTGTACGGGAACGTACTATTCGCACCGGCAGCACCCGGTAAATCAGACACATATTCCGAATTGATTTTTTTTTTTTTGAAAGATTAAAATTATTATCATTTTTTTTGAAAGATTACAATTATTTTCTTTTTAGGGAAACTAAAAATAATATTCGAATATTCAAAATAATATAAGAACATTCCCATCATCTCGTTAAATTGTATGTTAAAGATATTCATATTTTTTTTTTATAAAAATTTAGGGTTGAAGTATGCAAAGAAGTTGCATAATTAGTTGCTGTAAATCAATTTGATCATTCTATTATGATGATGTTAGTTATTATGTTAGTGTATTGACAAGACACACATGAGGAATCAAATTGATTTTGCATTAACTAATTTAAGAGACGACATTGATTGATTTTGAAATTGAAGAACCAAAATGAGAAGTTTAGTTAATTTCAAAAACCATTGTTTCTTAATGATTTATTTTTAGTATCAAATTGTTGTCATAAATCCACAAATAATTTTTGGTATGTAAAAAAGACTATCATTTTTTTATCAATGGTGAGTATAATGAAAAGATTGGTGGTGACTAAATAAGGGCAGTAAGATTATTTCCCCTGTTATTCTCATCTCAGATTCTTTTCACTTTCATTCTCATCTCCTTCCCACCCACCGCTCCTCTCATAGTTTTTTTTTCTCTTTCTCTTTTTATAAAAAATCAATACAAGATATTGGCATGACTTAATAATAACCGTTTAATTATGAAAGGAGAGAAGGGGAGAAGGATTAGGAGGGGAGATAATCCTTCTCTTAAATAAGGGGCTTGTATTTAATTTAGATTTTAAAGGTGTTATAAACTCAGGGAGTTTATTAGAGCTTCGTTGATTCTATGTGAATTTTAATTCAAATAACTAAAAATAAGACTTTAGCCCTTGAAACTCAAGTTTCTTTACATAAAACCTGACATAGTTTTTTTTTTCCTTGAATAAAACCCATGACTAGGCTCCACATAAGCAAATTAATTAATTTTGTTTGCCTTTACACATTTTGCATTTTTCATATGCCTAAAATACCCCTAATTACAGTTTTAATGTATACATTTAATTCTATGCAGATTTGAAGGGAGAGATTAATGAAAAAAAAGCACTAATGTTATACTTTCCTTACGATTTAGTAATTGTTTTTCAAATTTTCATATAATTAGACTTTTTAATTTAATTGTGTCATTTTCTTATCAAATGAAAATTTGAAAGGGCACTATAATATGTCTTTTACATAAAAAATATAGGTAAGTTATTTGGACATATGTATTAGTACTAAAATTTTCCTAGTATATTTAATAATACATGCAAAATAATTTACCTATAAAATAAAGAATGTTATTTGATTTAAAATAAATTTATGTATACTTTACAAAATAATATGGGTAAATTTGACACACCCCAACCGAGATCAGGGCATGTTGGTCGTTACGTGGAAGTGACGTAACCATGTGCACAGTGCGGAAGCTAATAAATAATAATAAAAGTACGAATAAAAAAAAACCAGCTATACACAAAGTAATAACATACATGTGTAAGCGTAAGTGTGAGAAACAAAGTTCAGAGCATAGAAGACCTAGTGCAGTCCAGGAGAAACAACACTAAATAAACACACCCAAAGGTGATCCTACACTGGTGATAATTTGTCAGATAAGCCGGGAAAATGCTCTAGGGAGCCACCAAAAGTGCTAGCCAAACTAGAACCTGGAGGGGTGCAAAATAGAAAGCGTGAGTGGGCAAAAACAAAGCTTTTCAAAAACCATTTCATAAACAAAGTTCTAACCCCTCGCCGTAAAACCTGTATACTTCCCAGAAAAATAGAATATATATACATATATATATATATAAGTCATGCTCAGAAATATGCCATGCCAAAAGCCTCGAAATAAAATGTCAGTACTCAGGTAATGCCAAACAATGTCATGTAATCTGTCAGCCGGAGGCACCTAATGTGACCTGTACGGCTGAATTTAGAGCTTAAATCTCCAACTCACTAACTATATCTGCACACAAGTCGGAACCACCTAAAGTGGTCTATACGACAGGACTGGGTGTATAATAAGTACACTCAAGTGCTACGATCACGTGAAGACTGGGCGAATAATCGCGAGTCACTTACGAGTCGAAACCACATAAAGTGGTCTGTACGACAAGACTGTGCACCTAACTTGGATCCAAGATGAGCGTGTGGTGCAGGAGGTGAACATCACGTGAAGGACTGTGTCCAACTCTGGACGGGAGCACTAACACCGGAGGTGCAGGTTATGAGCTCTCTATGCATTTCAAATCACTACTGAACATAAATATAAACCATAACTTACCTGGCACTTACCTGTGCGTCCGCAGCACCAAACATATGTATATATATACAACTAATACTGCATAATCAAATGGCAAACATAATGCGTGGCATATAAACTTATGAACGTTTCATTTCACTTTCTGGGAAAAACATAAGTATATAGGTATATACGGAAAACCAAAAGCCCACTCACTAGTATGTAGAAGGGTCATAACCCCTTGCCTCGAGTGACTGCGCTCGTCCTCAGGATAGGTCTCACCTATATGCGAAACAACTATAAAAACGTTAATTTTAAAGCACATAACCAACCATACGAAATAACTTCTTATACAATGCTCAAATGGGATGTATGAATACACCAACGTGATCTACTCAATCTCAGGAACATCCCCATATTTTTAAAATAATTTTTCGACGCCGCACGCGCCCCCACGGGCCGTCCACGCGCAGGCACGTGCCTGGCACATTGACGGCGTCAGTTAACACCGTTAGGAATATTTCGTTAACTCTGACAGATTCCGTTAACGCCGTTAGGAATATTCCGTCCAAACTGACGGAATATTCCGTCGTCTTCTCAGGCCAAACTTCGGTGCCGTCGCCAGCGCCGGAAAACTGGGAAAAATTCAAAACTTCGTATCTCACTCGTTTTTCAACCAAATTTCACAAAATTGGTACCAAAATGAAGCTTACAACAAGAGGAACAAATCCATACCACTTTCAAGCACTAAAACCCACGGAATCTTGCCAGGAAAACACCACCAACTCTGGCTAAACCTGCAACTCACGATCCCGACGTCCAAAACCTTCAAAGGAACCACCCCGAGCCTCCTAAGGACCTCACCAAGCTTTCTACAAGCTTGAAATTCCCAAAAACACAAGAATTAATGTGTGCATGAACAGTGACCAAATCGGGGGATCCCGAGTTCGACGTGAAAACGAAGGTATCCTTACCTGAAATGGGTATGGTTGAACTCCTAAGGACCTCACGAGCACAACTGTGTAACTTGTTTCCTCGATTTGTGAAGGTTTCAAGGGTTTGTGGTGTTGTCCGTACAAAAAGATAGGAAAGGGAGAGAGAGAAAGGCTCGGGACAGGGCAGAGAAAGAGGGGAAATGAGTGTGGTGTGTGTGTGGTCCAAAATCAACCAAACAAAACCCAAAAATGACCACACAACGAAACAAACATACTATGGGCAAAACCGTCATTTCACCCCTACGGTACGAAAAGTCTGGGACGGGCTGTCACAAAATTATTGCACACATACATATTAGTAATAAAATGTACCCAATATACATAATAATGCTTGCAAATAATTCACCTACAAATAAAGGAAATTTGATTAAAAATAATAATACATCTACTACTTTTTGTTTATGAATTTCAAATTTCCTTTTTTTTTTTTTTTTCAAACATAATGACTTACAATATAATTTACCTTATTGTTTAATCTTATAAAAGAATAATGTATCTACTGTTTTATTTTAATGGAGATAATTTTTCTTGGTTTATCACTTATGAAATAATTTAGGCAATGTTTAACTTTACCAAAATAATGTAACTACTATTTTAATTTACCTACAAAATAAATGTTATTTGATTCAAAATTAATTTACCTATATTTTACATGTAAGTATAGATAAATTATTTTTAACATGCAATATAATAACAAATAAAAAATGTCTAATGTATGTAATAAAATAATTTGCCTACAACATAAAAGAATATTAATTGGTTCTTTTTTTGTATGTGTGTGTATACATATATCTATGTTACCAATATTTGTGATACAAGAAAGGTAAAATTTCCATATGGGGTTAATTGCTACACATAATTAGGGTGAGTAATCATATTTATTGACATATATAGGGTTTGTGGCATACGCTGTAAATATTTTGTAATAATTGGTTACATATTTGTCTACATGGCAGTCTATTTGAAATTTGGGTTTTATTTGAATGTGTAATACTATGTGGGTACTTGTTTGGAAAATAGGAGTTTCAAGGGCATTTCTCTAAATAACCCTTCAAATAATTAGAAATCTTAGGGAGGGAGGGTTGATTTTCTAAAGCCTAAAAGACACTATAAAATCGCTCCGAATCAGTCATTTTTTATAAATACTTTAAAATTCGGAAGAAATACACCCAGATCTCTATGGAATTTTATAAAAAATTAAATTAAATTTTTTTACTGAATATGCATACACTTCTATATATTCACTCAGATTTCTATTAATCTTTTAAAATCTTTTAAATTCCTATTAAATACAACTCCCTAAATTTGAATAGATTTGAGAAAAACAATAAAATTAGAATCCAACCGGTTGAGGCGGTCACCTGTCACCCTCCTTAATATGCGCGTAAAGCCAAAAATTTCGAGAAACGGAAGTGGTTGTAGCATTACACAGTGCGTGACGAAGAACAAAACTTCCTCTCCTCTCTTCGTCTTCACACTCTCAAAACCTCCATTTCTGCTCTCTCTCTCTCTCTCTCTCTCTCTACTTTCTCTCTCCTCCTTGATCATGTAAAAGAACTCACCAAATCCCAGAAGAAAATCGACTTTGATTTCATCGCTTTTGCATACAAACTTACAGTTGCAAACTCTCATGGCGGCCCTGTCTGTGTTCTCTCTGTTCGCTCTGTTTTCACTGACCCACATTGCTCTTCTCTCGACTCTCTGTTTCGCCGCAGACCCCTTCGTCTTCTACGACTTCCGCGTCTCTTACATCACCGCCTCTCCGCTCGGCGTTCCTCAACGGGTACGATCTTTTCATTTGGTTTTTACTCTGTTTTTTTTTTACGGCTGAATGATTGATGAAATGCCTTTTTAATTTAAATTTTGGCCATGGTTCTATTGAAAATATTATTTTATACATTTTTCTTCATGGGTTTGTGTATTTTTGTGATTTATCGAGTAAATCTGCGGTATTTGCTGTATGTGGGTTTATATCGGTGACGAGGGTTTTAGTGACAGCGAGGTTGATTAAGAAGAATATTTATAGATCATTTTGATGCCGGTTTACGGGGTTTCAGCCATACTTGCTTGATTTTGCAGTGCATTCATGGATTATTTCTGGTCCTGATAACGGGGGTTTTAGTGGCAGTGAGGTGGATTGGGGGTTTAAGAAGAGTACCTATAGATCATTCGATATAGGTTTTCAGGTTTTCAGCGATATTTGCTGGATTTTGCAGTACATATTATTATTCATGGGTTATTTGTGTCCTGATACTGAAATTTTATTGTTCTAAAACTCTTGTGCGCAAGGGTTTTACCACCCCTTACGCGTATATTTTTCGTTTATGTTTGGATGATTAGTGTATATTTTAGGCCATGTGTTGTATATTACAACTTACATTGTTTGGAGTTTGAGCAAGTTTTAAAGTATATCAGAATTTGACTTGCAACCTGTTTTAATTGGAATTTTGATTGCAGGTTATAGCAGTTAATGGGCAGTTTCCAGGTCCTGCTATCAATGCTACTACAAACAACAATGTTGTTGTTAATGTACATAATGAATTGGACGAGAATCTCCTAATTACTTGGTAAGGCTTTTGTTCAAATTTCATTGTATTTCATGAATGGGACGTTTTTGAGATGTTTGTGGTGAATTCTTTGATAGGTCTGGGATTCAAATGCGGCGGAATTCATGGCAGGATGGTGTTCTTGGCACAAATTGTCCAATCCCTCCTTCGTGGAATTGGACTTTTCAGTTTCAAGTTAAGGACCAGATCGGGAGCTTCTTCTACTTTCCATCTCTTAATTTGCAGAGAGCATCTGGAGGTTTTGGCTCCTTTCATATTAATAATAGGCAGACAATTGAAATTCCTTTTAATCAGCCTGCTGGTGATATCTTCATTACTATCGGTGACTGGTATACACAAAACCATACGGTCAGTATTTCTTGTTGTGTAAGTATTTTCATGTGAACAATGTAGTTTAAAGTACATGACTAACCTCCTCCTTATTCCTTTCCTCTGATTTTAGGCACTGAGAACTGCTCTTGATGCTGGAAAAGATCTCGGGATGCCGGATGGAGTTCTTATCAATGGGAAGGGGCCTTATCAATACAACAATACCCTAGTACCTGATGGAATTCAGTATGAAACCATTAATGTTGATCCAGGTATATATTTTAAAGGCTTTTGCAATCATTTCCATCGTACTTCCCGACACCCTCCTTTTTAATATTCACTTTGTTGTCATAGGTTGTTCTCTGACCATGAATATATAAACTTTGTAATTGGTCCTTATAAGTTTAGCTTCGTTTTGTTTCAAATCATTATTGTTTGTTATCAACATTTGTTGATAATTACATTCTACTATCATGCTTCTATGCACTACCTGTCTATCTTTGAAAAATTGAAGTGTTTTTTCCCCTATAAAGATCACTAATGTCGATATAGGATTTCCTCGTTTTCAGAATGGGAGACATGAAATGGTGAAACATGAGGTCCGATATTATTACTTCTGTGATATATTTTGTATTCTCTTGGATAAGTGTTTCAAATTATTGTGTTCTGCAGGAAAGACATATAGAATACGTGTGCACAATGTTGGTATTTCAACAAGTTTGAACTTTAGAATTCAGAATCACAATCTGCTTTTAGCTGAAACAGAGGGATGCTATACAATGCAACAAAACTATACGAAGATTGATATTCATGTTGGACAGTCATATTCATTTCTTGTTACAATGGATCAGAATGCCAGTAGTGATTACTACATCGTTGCAAGTGCGAGGTTTGTAAATGAATCACTTTGGCAAAGGGTTACGGGCGTTGCTGTCTTACACTATTCCAACTCTAAAGGACCAGCAAGTGGCCCTCTCCCTGACCCTCCCAATGACTTTTATTACAAGAAGTGGTCGATGAACCAGGCATTGAGTATCAGGTTTGTTTTTGAAGATTTAGATTCCTTGAAGATGTTGAATGTTAAAAGTTTGCTTATAAGGATCAGTTCTCGTCTTTAATCAAACTTTCAGTTCTCGACTTCGAATTACAGAACTATTTAGATCACTGCAATAACAGATGATTCAGTTAGATGCTTCACATTACACCTTAACTGTTCAGTTTTAGGTAAAGTATCAGAGTAGTTGGTTACTAGTTCATTTGTCTGAAGTCTTTGGCTTTTTATTGCTAGGCAAAATGGATCTGCAAGTGGCGCTCGCCCTAATCCTCAGGGATCATTTCACTACGATCAAATTAATATCACTGATTCATACGTGATAAAGACTGTTCCACCACAGACAATTGGTGGGAAACTGCGTGCTACGCTAAATGGAATCTCGTTTGGCAACCTTACTACACCAATCAGGCTTGCTGATCAGAATAAAGTTGGAGGAGCCTATAAGCTTGATTTCCCCAATAAGCCACTTAATAGAACCCCACGAACAGACATATCTGTCATCAATGCTACATATAAGGGTTTTATTGAAATCATTTTCCAGAACAATGACACCACAGTGCAGAGTTTCCATTTGGATGGATATTTCTTTTTTGTGGTTGGGTAAGTTCTGTTTTCATTTGCATCGTTTCATATCTGCTTCTTTTAAAACGGTCGGTGTTTAGAGAAAGTAATTTGATGTGTGCAGGATGGATTATGGCGATTGGACTGAAAACAGCAGAAATGGATATAATAGGTGGGACGCGGTTACTCGATGCACTGCACAGGTTTGTATTTTTATCAGATTATCTGTTTTTCTTATTACCTTCTGCTTTTCAGCAGGCTATGCCTAGTCTTAAAAAATCTAGAGAAGGAACTAAATGTAAACACTAGAAAGAAGTAGTATGATGGTCCGTGTGGCAAATATTTTGGTTATACATTCGAGTCAAATGCAAATGTTTAGATGTTTGCGAGGTTCGCTTTAGCGTGTGATTTCTGAAATGAAGGCTTCCAGTCTGTTCATATGCTTGTTTTCTGTCTTGCATTAAGTGTTTCTGTTTTGTGATTGTGTAGGTTTTCCCTGGGGCATGGACAGCGGTGTTTGTCTCGCTTGACAATCCCGGAGCATGGAATCTTAGAACTCAAAACCTTGATAGATGGTATCTTGGCCAAGAGACATATCTGAGAATCGTCAATCCAGAGGAGAAAGGTGAAACAGAGTTCGGTGTGCCCGATAATGTTCTGTATTGCGGTGCTCTAGCCAGCAGACAGAAGTATGCTTAACAATTCTCATTCTCTCTATCTCCCTCTCTTCCTCTAGATGATAACTTTCATTCTAATATTCTTTCTTTGGCATCTTCAGGGAACAGAAGCACTCTTCTGCAACATCAATTCCCGGGGGAAATCGGAGGCTGTTCATCTCTCTGCTAGCCGCGTTCTTTGCTTTGGTCTGTACTTTTAGATGATGAGCTCATTAATGGCGACAGTTGATGCCGAGCAGTGGCGGCTTTTTCGTGCTGAATTGTTGGAGGGTCGAAATACATGTCATGGGTGGTACATTTTGGGTTTTGGGTGGTTTTAGTGACAGACATTTGCTGGTTTCGTAGTTTTCTGCGGCGATACTTCCCATACCATAGCGTTGTAATAGTTCCCTTCGGATCCAACATTCTTTTGTGCGTCTCTTTTGAAATTATTATGTCGACTCTTGATGTTTAACGCCAACATTCTCAATCAATATTATACCATTTGACTTCGTTTTACCCAAGTTTCCCATGTGTTTTTCTTATGATGAATTGTTTATCCTATGAGTTTGCCCTTTAACAATGTGGGCCTTGACCGGCACCTAAGTTCCATGAAGATGTTGGAACGTCTAATTGTGCATGTGTTTTTGTAATCATGATATATCTTCGTCGTCTTATGATTTGTCGGTAAGTTATTGTCTCACCAACTAGCTAATCAAAGCACGAACCCCTCCTCGGGCAGGTTCCTTCTTTTGCTTCTTAGCCTACGGTGCTGTTGTTCTCCTGCTTGAACTGGGATTCCAAACCAACTTCTACTCGATAGATTGGGGGATTCAAGTGAGTTCTAATGGGGGTGATCCACTCTTCTATTGGTTTAGTGCAGTCACTTTGTAATCGTATAAAAAGAAATCTTATACCATGTCAACATTTTGATTAGAAAAGTGCTTTTTGAAAAAGTACTTGAAGTGCTTCTTTGATTCATTTTAATCCATTAGATCAACTAAATTAGTTTATTACATTCGTTCGATCCTAGCAACGAGCTTCATGTGGTAAGGGTGGGGACCGGATTCAGAAAGGGGTTAAATTTATAGGGTTAATTGAAGAACATGATAGGAGTCACATGGATAAGTATGATGTGGATTAATTGTTTGTGGGCGTGCTTATGCACATTACTTATGAGTACACTGGAGCTATCATCCTAACTTCTTTCGCAAGCAAGAATTTTATAAATGTATAAGACCCTAATTGCATATAGACAAAATTGGAGCAACAACCTCTTAATTTAGCCCCACTTGGAGCTTTGGTCCCTGAACTAGAAATCTGTGATTATTGGCCGTTGAACTTGTTATAATGTGGAGTCATGGTTCTTTCGGTTGACTCCATTATATTCTTGTTCCAAAGGAGTTTAAAGGGGCTTTAATGGATAGAAGTTCTAACGGAGTTATCAAAAAAGACCATTGCTCCATGTTATAACAAGTTCGACGACTAATCCTCACGGATTTCTAGTTTAAGGACCAAAACTCTAATTGAGTTAAAATTCAGAGACCATTGCTCCAATTATCTCTTCTTGCATGTATTACCACCTTCTATAGTCTTGTTCTATTCATGTCATGGGTATGGGTAACACTCTCTTCTGCACGGATTACTTCTTGTTTTAACTAACGATAAGTTATTCACTTACAATTGGTGGTTAACTTACCCAAGTAAGTCAAAATAGGCCACAACGTAGTATTTAACTCACTACAAATTTATATCATCATATCCTCGCATCTATATGAGTCGATCATGAAATCTCTTCTAATAATCTAATAAAATAGAAACTGAATGTCGTTAAACCAACTGGCTATATGCTCACTTCACTTTACTTTTCCATCCTAGTATTCCTCATTGACTTAATTAATTTCTCCTCTCTCTCTCTCTCATGCCTAATGAGTATGTCGCAGTCGCATCAAAACTTTCATTGCTTGAAAGGGACTTTCAAGCCATGGCTTGGCAACAAGTAAATAATTAAATGGTCTATCCAAATAAATAGGTAGCTTGCATACCATTGCTACAAACTAACACAGGGGTATCTAATAAAGCTCTCCAATCCCTACTATATATATAGAACTGATCTATATTTAGCAACTGGGTGTAATTTATGCTTTGGTGCAAATTGCCTCCGGCTTATCCTTGTCACACATCCACGATCCCCCATACGTAGGTTAGTAGTTCATGTTCTTTTCTATGTTTTTTTTGTTTTTTGTTTTGAAGAAGTTTCAAGTTCCAATTTCCAAGTTTTAAGTATTAAGTTCAGCTTCTTCTACTGTCAATATATCAAGGAAAGCTTGGCAGTCTTTGGGTCTTCGGATCCAGAGTCATCTGGAGCGGTTGCATGTTTCATTTTCATATAGGAATTAGTGTTTTTCATTTCAACTGCTCATGCTAGTAGCTAGCTTAAAACTTGAGCATTTAATTATCAATATGAAAACTATTTAGACAAAAAAACTGACACACTCGTTGACACATTGTCTAATAAAGGCGGGCGCTACTATTGTACATGAGTCTCACCAGTATTAGAGGGTGTGTCTGCAAGTGTGTTATAAGTTCGTGTGTCCAACTAGCATCACCCTTTAATTATGGTGAGAATAATGAAGAAAATGAAACTTCGCTATTGTATAAGAGACTATGACATGTGGCGATGTGTATAATTTGCGTGTTATAATATCTAAGCACACTCTGCCAGCACTTAAAACCTACCCTCTTGTGGTGCCGACTATATGGATATATATATATGTGGTCTGGCTGATTGATTCAATTACATATACTTGCCTTCTACGATTTAAAAAGAATGAAATGTACTATAACTGCATTTGCCAAGCTTAACAGCAAAGCAAATATTCATCATTCACGTAACATATAACTTTATTATTCCGGCCCTCATATCAGATATCATGATATATATAAGTAATCGGTGCACTCGATCTTCTTTCCACTAATGTTTTGTTGCTAAATTTGTCAGCACAGTTAAAAAAGAAGAAACAACCCTTCTAGTGAGGCAGAAACATACTTTATTATTATTTTTACGTTTTAGTAAAAATGATCATTGAGATTGGTATAATTCCTCACTTTGGTCCTTAAGATTGAAAATCAATCAAAGTAGTCCCTGAATTTATCCACTGTCAGTGACTCAATCATTTTAGTCTTCCTGTAAGAAATCTTCATTAAATTGAGAGTATTTTTGTCCAATCAACCCCTCCACTTGCCTTTCTATTTAAGGTATGTTTTCTACGGAAGGAACAAAATGATTGATGGTAGACAAACTCAAGGATCACACCTATCGATTTTCAATGTCAGAGACCAAAGTGAGGAGTTATGCCAATCTCATGAACCATTTTACCTAAAAACCTTTTTTTCCAACAGAAATTTTTGAAAATAAATTTTTTTTTTTATACGAGCAATAGAGGAATTCAAACTCAGGGTCTCAGATGAAATGGTGAATTTCTTAACCGAGTTACATACTACTGGACTATTGAAAAGAATTAATAACAACGATACATAACTCTAGTATATATAGTAACATTAATTTCATACGATTGACATACAAAGTGACATTTCTACAATCAATCGACCACTTGGTCGAGTTCATTAACAGCGTACATGGCTGTTAGCTATAGGTAGCACATGATAAAGCCCCATGACATGCCAATTAACAATGCTTCATCAACTTCACTTCTTCCAGCAAACTCAGCTCCACAGTCCGCTTGCTTACTAGATGTAGGAATTTCAAACTGATGACTAATTTGATGGAGATAACTTACTACTCAAACAAACAGATGTTTAGAGTTTAATTAAGTTACAATGTTGATGCAGTAGTTTTATTATGTACAGGGAAATGTTGAGATCAATATCCTCTCGATTTTCCCTTATGTACTTAAATCCTATGATCAGTATATATATATACTACTAAATGATTAATATCATATGGTGTCACTTCCTCAATTGACAACTGGTGGTTGTCAATTTGCTGGTCCAAATGTTTGAGTATTAATCCATATTTGTCTGATACATGATATAGACATCTTATTAATAGGGCGTGTAATATCATGAGTAGCTATTTCCTTTTGAAGCATCATCCTGGCTGAGCTGTGAAGCTACAAACTTGTCCAGCGCTCGCCAATCAGTCAGCTGATCTACTGCTCGCTGATGATCGTCATTACTACTGTTACCATAGACTACACCTTGAAAGTTTTGGTCTTGATCCGATGACTGAAAAGTGCAAGTGTGGTTAATGTCGATACTATATGCATGAGGTGCCATGGAGTTGGAGCTGCTTACAGCTGTGGCTGATGATGATTGAACTAGTTTCGGGCTTCCAAGAAGAGGGAGCTGGAAGAAATGCTCATGGGGAACCTGGAAGGGCAAGTGATCAAGCTCTTTCTTGCATGGATAATTAGGAAGGTGGTGGTATGGCACCATGTTCATGTTCATAGAGCTAGAATTGTGCCCTGGTGAGTCCAATTCTGGCATGAAGGAGACTTGGTCATCGTACCAACATGGTGACTCATTTTCACTCATCTTAATTCTCATGCTTGCAATTTTCTTCTTGAACACCCTACATACAACCCATCCTTCTTCCTGCTTCAATTGCACAAGAATAGAGTATGAACACTGACCATTCAAAGTGTGCTCTCTTGTAAAAGTAATACAATACATGATCAGTGAAGATGGTACAAATATGACGGCATGTACAAATATGAGCAATTTAAATTCTTGCCTGTGGAGTTCCGTTTTCATCAGTTTCAAGGCGGTATTCATGCATAATCCAATCGGACTTTTGACCATTTGGGGCTCGACCTTTATAAAACACTAAGGTTTTCCGCATGCCAATTAAGTCATGCTTTGAATAAATGGCCTTGTCTCTTCCCGTGGCTTTCCAAAACCCTGCAGCGGTGGCTCTATTTGTTCGAGTTCCAGTAGGATACTTCTTATCTTTATGGCTAAAAAAGTACCATTCGTTTTGTTCTTCTGTCCCTATTCTGCATAGTTCTGTACTTCCAAGTTTATGTAACCGAGATATTAGTAGTGAATTCTTGATTAGATAAACTGAAGTGACACCATTATTTTGATTGTGATAATGTTTATATATACCTTGAAGATCCCATGGCTCAATTTTATAGAGGTCGACATCTTTAATAACATCAAGGTCAATCCTTCTTGAAGTAACCTTCTTCCTGAGGTAGTAATCAACAAGTTCTTCATCCGTCGGATGGAACCGAAAACCAGGGGGAACGTGTGAAAAAGTTTCCATATTGTCCAGCTTTTGGTCTTCGGTCCTGAAAATTATTTGTCATACTGATCATATAGGCATGCATGCATGTAAAGTTTTATCCTGAAACAATATTCAATCAAGTGTAAATTGTGCCAAACACAACCCTAAAGAATCACCTCAATGGAATTTAACTTCCGTTATTAAGCGTACTTTAGCCCTAATCAAATACGTGTGCATCCAAATTGTGATATCTTGCTTCAAAGTTCAATGTCAAACTCAATCAAAGTATTCACATTACTAAAATCTGTACTTCATTTCACCCAGAGGTCTTTAATTAACCATAAAAGTTTTAGCATGGAGTCCCTGGCTATTTTCTGCTAATTATCCAGAAGCCTACAAATCTGAGAATTGCATATACAGATTGTAAATTTTTTAAAACTGATGTTAGCCTGTATAGGAATTAAGTTCATCTTGTCCTGTCAGTACACGATACATTGACAACATTTTCTTTGTAAGGAATCAGTGGCGACTTGTTTTGTCTGATTTTTAACAAAAAAATAAGCTCGATCGGATGAGTGACAACTGGGATCGTTTGATGCTTCTGAAACTTAATTATTGAACTACTGCCTAATTAACTAAAAGTTCATTTGACCTAATGTGGGAAAATATCCATTGTGAAGGTGATAATGAAAAGTGGCAATGCAATCATGAATGTTCAAATATTGGATGAATGAACTCGTGAAAAAAAGGGTTCTTTTTGGGGAGTTCATTGTCAATGCTATATAATTCACGCGAAATATATTTTCTGATGGAGAAAATGATGCTTCAGATCATCCTGGCAATAAAGCATGTGGAGAAATCCTTTTCCTGTATGATGATTATATATACTTCTGATAATAGATCTTGGTGCAGGCAAGAAACATGAAAGAAGTCAAAATAACATCATTCCACATAGGTTCTACTTTACTAAAATTGTTGATGGAGTCAGAAGGTCGATGAGAAACTAGATCATGTAAAAAAGGAAAGCCAGATTTTTGCTTTTTTGGGATTGGTTGATGAAGAACATGCTTCGACCCTGGCTGCAAACACTCTAACTTCAAGATCCATATAATATTGATAAGCTAATACGCAAATTAAGAATTCAACTCAAGAATACTTGAACAAAGAAGTAGAATTTCATGAAGAGGGAGAGGGAGAGGGAGAGAGAGAGAGAGCTTACAGGACAGCAACAAAAGTCTCTAGCTTTGCAGTCCACAGATCTGATCGGTTGTGTGTTAATCTTCCTCACAGCTTCAAACTATTATAGGAGCTCATAGATATCAGGTAAGAAACAAGGACAGCCAAGCAGAACATGTCAGTGATTTATAAGATTTATATCAGTACTGCCCTCGGGAATTGCACACGAACTTGTTTTCTGGTCCCCAAAAACTGTAGTGTGTCGACTTGTCGGGATTATTTGGATCCCGAGAAAATAAGAAAGACAGGCCAAGAAAATGGAAGAGTTGAGGAATGGAAGAATAGAGACCAAGTAGGGTTAAATAATAACAAAAACCCTTAAAACAAAGATATAGCTTCTGGTTAATGTCTTAGGCTTTCATTGTCATGTCTCTCACTGTCGAGAAAAGCTAGATTGCGGGGAAAGATTAGGCCGGGAAAAAAGGGTGGCGCAAAACTGGCTGATCAAACAGGAAGCAAAGCTCTTTCGCTACTGCCACCTCTACCCGCCACTGATAGTGATAGAGACCGAAACCCTAATCAACCCCATATATGTATATATCTATATATATACACAATATTGTTTGTCTTTATGAGCTAGCTAGGTCACTATGCCAGTGACAAAGATTGTCACAGAGAGAGAGAGAGAGAGAGAGAGAGAGAGAGAGAGAGAGAGAGATATGAGGAATTTGAGATCAAGAACAAGGAAGATATATGAGAGCTAGGGATATAATGATGACGTATTGCAACAGCCACCAGCCAAAAAGTCACAAACAAATGTGGCATGGTGGCCCTAGCATCTACTCTAACCTATTCTCAGTCCCTACCATTTACTTACACACCTCGATCATCCTTCTTTTTTCAACTCTCAACTCCAATAAATTTACGATCATGATCATGGTGTTGTGCTGCGTCCATGTGAGTCGTGACCCATGGTTTCTTGCAAGTTTCTATACATTTTTCTCGGGGTTACGACACATGGAATTGGATAACTAGTAATTGGCTCTAGGGTTTTACTGATCTTTCTTATTATTAGGTTTGTTTTCAGTTGTGTTAATTATAACTGCCATAATTAAAGTAGAAATTAAATAGGGCTACATTTTGCAACAATCATGGACGATTAATTCAAAGTGTTGTTGAAGAAATTATTAATTCTCCAACATACGTTGTACTTAATTATGGTGTTGTTCATCACATATAAATTACAATAACGGATTTGGGTGCGTGATTAATTATTTCTAGAAAATGGTTAGCATACGTTTGATGATGTAATGCGTGTTTAGCCTATTTAACATGTATTTTTTAGCTTCGAAAAATTCTACATTGTACTGGTGCATTAAATGGCTAGATTTACATTTGTGAATTTTGTTAACCTAACTCTAGCTAATTATTCAAACATAAGTGTCTCTTATGCACTGGTATATTGTAGACAAACCTCAAATTAAAAAGTGAAACTCAAAGTTGATGAAACCGATGGTGAAATTAGCACTCCCATACCAAATACTCACAGACTTCCCCTTACAAACCCTAGTCCTATAATAACATATTCTACTGAGATCAGCAGACTTGCTCGTGACCTATACGCTTCCATTGTCATCATTATACGCGGTCTTAAAATATCTACCTATGGTCCTATACGTTCTTCATCAGCTGAGTCGACCGTAACAAAGCTCGAGCCCCGTTCTAACAGCGTCCTCTCCTTCCCTGTTCCATCGAAAAAGGAAGGCCTGCATCGGTGGCAACTTTCTACTTAACTAACGTTATTCTATATTCTTTCGCATTGACGGTGTTGTTAGTTAGGGTTTCTGCACGAGTGGTTTTCCAGAAGAGAAGTGGGACCCAGTAACCGACGTCTAACATCCGGAACGAGACAGTCCTCCAAATGGCTTCTTTAGCCGGCGGAGTTGAGCGGAGCTGAGCTGAGCGGAGTCGAAGGGGACAGAGAGTGTTGAGGAAGGTTTTGGAGGAATTGGGATGAGTAAAGTAAAGGGGGGCAAGTGTGGTGGGATGTGGGGCCCAATGGGGAGGGGAATGATGACCTGGACGGCTTGGCAATCCGGCGTGGGCTAGCCACTATCATTGAGCTCGCAAGTTGAGGCAGGGACGACGGAGGGGGAGAGGTGTCTTTCGCTGAGTTGTGTCTTTGGGTCCCCGCTCGCGTGGTCCACTTGGTAGGCCCTCCCGTCCACAGGCCTTACTGGATCCTACTGTTGGGTTTATAGAATGAGCACACTTCTCTTCCCTCTCAGACTCAGCAGTCAGTAACCTGCTCCCCTCGCAATGCAACCCAGAAGCATGGAAAAATATCAACCACGTGCGTGCGTGCATTGGCAGTTAGGGTTTGTGTGAGCCAGGACAAACTTCCTTAGAATAGTTATTTCAAACCAATTACGTACTTATTTAATTATTTGCATGAGAATTTATTGTGAGGTTATTTTAGATCAATTACACATTGTTTTATATATATAACAATGTATAATCAGTTAAGTGTATTACCGCAATAAAACCTGGTTGTTTGAAAATTCTCGTGTGTAGTTCGTTCAAGATAGTATTATGAAAAGAAAAAAAAAATCAAATGATATAATTTTTTTTGGTAACATAAAGGGGTGGATCACCCAAAAAACTAGCTCAAAGAATTATTACAGATAATTCGAGTCTTAGGAACTCCCATCATGCCATCAAATAATCAAGTTCGAATCCAATCAGGAGGATTATTTGGCATGCTCGCAACGCTGTTCGTTTTCATGAGGAGGTTGTTTCCATCAATTATGTTGTAAAGTCTATTAAATGTCAACTCCTTGAAATTGATTCTCTCAATTCCGGCTGTATGAAGAATTCTGTGGAAGAGCTTTGCATTCTTCATTCTCTTGGTGTTCGTGGACGTCCTGCTAAGGCTCCAAAAATTATTGAGGTGTTGTGGCGTCCGCCTTCTTAGTCTTGGATCAAAGTGAATACTGATGGGGCTGCAAGAGGTTCCCCCGGTGTGGCTGCATTTGGTGGTATCTTTCGAGATTTTACGGGTAATTCTCTTGGTTGTTTTGCGGGTTCAATAGGCTTGGCCTCTTCTTTGGATGTTGAACTACATGCTCTTATTCATGCTGTATCTTTAGCTTGGGATAAAGGTTGGCATTCCTTATGGATTGAATGTGACTCTTCACTGGTTGTTCATCTTCTCTCTTCATCCTCACCTGCCTTGACATCTATCCCATGGAGGCTTTTGGTCAGTTGGCATAACCGTCGAGTTTTACTATCCTCCATGCAGGTTCAGATTTCTCATATTTTTAGAGAGGGTAATCAAGTTGCTGATTGTTTGGCCAATTATGGTGTTGAGCACCCCGGTGTCCATTGGTGGGAATCATGCCTTCCTTGTGTTGCAGCTGCTTACTCTCAGAACCTTTCTAAGCTTCATTGTTATAGGTTTTGCTAAAAAAAGGTTTTCAATTGTTGTTATTAATTATTTAATGGTCTGGGTGTGGCCTCATGGCCCCCCCTAACATATTGTATTTTTTTTTTGTTTATCAATAAATTCTCCTCAAAGTCTCTTCCCATGATAGCAATGCTGAAGTGGGATGAACTTTGTGGCCAAATTAAATAATAATAATAATAATAATGGTAACGAATGTCTATATTATAGATCCAATTGGCAATGTTATCTACCACCATGTTCTTATCTCGGTAAACATGCAATACCTTGCAATCGACTGTGCGTGTCATAAATTATCTACACTAATCAATAATATTGACAAGAGAATGAAAGCTAATATCATATTATTAATTAAATTAACCACAAGAACTAAATTCATCACCACACATAATCTTGATATAAATTTATATGATCATAAAGATGGCTACTCAATTTGATATATGGTCACTCGTACTTAAATTGTATTACAAAATTTGAGATTAAAATACTAAAAAGTGAAACATACATTACCCTTTGTAGAATGGAAGTAGGTAGTATTAAATAGTGGTGAGGGATTTGAGTATTGATGTAGGTCCCGTATTTTTCATGATGACGGATGAGAAACATCATTGTTCCGTCCGAACGTTTTCGGTGGAAGGTCCGTTGTTACATCGACGTGTCGCCATTTGGGTGGCTGAACTTGTCCGCAACCAATAAGAATGCGGCTTCCTTAATACTCTTTGGGGCCCACTTGTATGTCATCTAATCATATGCCTACGTCTCAAGGTCCCACCTCGTATAAACCACAGATTTGGAGGGGTCCCACGTAGTTGTTGTTTTAATTTAATTTGTGAAAATAATCTTGCTAAATTTTGTAAATTATATGCAATGTTTATTGATGGTTAAATTATTACTTAAATTTTGATTAATGTGTTTATTTTTATTGATGATACATCACATAATTTGTAAACTTAGATTATTTAATATTACTCTTACAAAACAACATGGATTACACACACACACACACACATATATACATATACATACATACATACATACATACATATATGGATAAATTAGGTTCTCATTGTCACATTCCGGCCCGGGCCCCCACCACATCCCGGGTTCGACTCCGCTATAGCACGATATTATCCGTTTTGGACCCCGACCACGCCCTCACGGTTTTGTTTTTGAGAACTCACGAGCAACTTTCCAATGGGTCACCCATCCTGGGATTGTTCTCGCGCGCTACTCGCTTAACTTCGGAGTTCCGATGGAACCCGAAATCAGTGAGCTCCCAAAAGGCCTCGTGCTAGGTAGAGATGAAAATATACATATAAGACTTACATGATCCACACCACTGGGCGATATGGGATGTTACACTCATCCCTTAATTTTCTTTCTCATTAATTGAAACCTTATTTCTTTTTCATTTTTGATCAAGGTCCCTTGATTAATTTACATGTCATTTTTTAAATGTTAAAATTATTTACAAATCATGATCATTTGTCAATTTTAAAAATGAAAAACTTATTAATCATTTCCATATATATTTTTTGTATTTTTTTTCATATATTTTTGTTTCTAATTTGTACCTTTTTATAATTTGTACCAATATTCTTTTTAGTTTTAATTTGTACCTATAATTTTGAATTTTAATATGTACCCAAATTTTGTAAACTAATAATGTGGTTGTTGATGATTGGATTATTATGTAGTAGTTTATTAACGTATTTATTTTCTATTGATAACACATGACATAATTTGAAAGTTTGATCTCAAAAAGTTGGTATACTTAATATTATTCATTCTGTAAAACCACTGTTCTAAAAGTCTCCGCCTAGTGCTAGGCGGTTGGTCATTGCCTCGATTAATGTCTAGGCGTTTGAAAATTAAGAAAGGGCGCCTAAACCTGCTGAGGCACCCGCCTTACTCACCCAGACTAGCCTAAGTTGCGACTCACTTAGACAAAAAATAGATAACTTTTATTTTGTATTTTATTTTTTCAATAAATTGTAAAAGACTTGTTGAATACTTAAATGAATACACATTATATACATTACATGTGCTCCATGTTTTCATTATGTTCCAATACTTCCTAATATATATGTCATTTTATTTTGTAGTTTATAATGAAATTATATATATTTTAAGTATAAACAGACACTTATTTATACGAAATATAATAGATTTACTTAAATCCGTCTAGTCCGCCTAGGCCCCAGCTCACTGCTCGATTAACGCCTAGCGTCTTTTAGAACCTTGTGTAAAACAATGTTGCATGCAAGTTTCATCTAATTGTGAGGTTACTTCCTCTACAAAAATGGGGTACTTGGTTGGTCCATCTTTGATGTCTCGTGCTGTGTTTTCTCAATGTTTTGCCACAATTCGTCTAAAAATTAGTAAGAAAAATAAAAGATAAGCGGGCAAATTTTATGAATGTGACGCATGGTTGACAACTTTTGGGCATATGCACGCACGAAAACACATATTAGTGACAATTGAGTGGTTTATGATTCAAATAAGGATTATGTTTTTAGTGTTTTGAGATCACTTTATTTAGAAACACAATGTATAAGTCTTACCTAAAAAAATTAGATAATTACAAAACAGGTGAATATATGATTGCATTTTCGTTATTATGTCACCTCGAAAATTGTAATGACTATTATTACCATGATCATGTGAATAAGAAATCGGAACAAATAAAGCTGGAATAGTGAAAGCTCAAATGATTAAGATTGTAATCCATGGGCACTGCATCTATATTCAAAATGATTAAGGATGTGTTTGGAAATGTTTATCAAAGGGTGAAAGTGGTTTTGATGAAAATATTTTTGAAATCAATTCTTAATAAAAATGCAAGTGAATCTTGAAAAAGCACTTGAAATGCTTTTAAAATCCAAAAAAAATTCACCAAAAACACTACCAATCATTTTAAAAGCACTTACAAACGAACTCTAATATTTTCATCGCTTCACAAAGCAAAATTATGAACAACACAAGTCGCGTGGATTGTTTCACATGCTATAATAAGAGGAAACAATGTAATTGATATGTCTCAGTTTTAAAATGTATTAATAAAAAAAAATCACTTGTTGTAATATTATTGAAATAGTAATATTGTGCGGCTGTATTTTGATCGAATACATGGCTGCTCGTTTTTAGCCGATTATGGAAAATTTTAGGGCATCTTGTATCTACACTCTCTTAAATCTGAAAATAATTTTGAGTCTCACCAGCTCAAGCCCAATTTGATTTTACTTTGAACCGCATTAAGGCCTTTTCTCTTTGTCAAGGCTGTTGATTTGATCACTCTGATCTTCTCCTTCTCAACTCGGTCTCATTTGATTGTTGCTTAGTTGTGGTGGGCTTTGCTGCTTATGCAACCAAGAAAAATAAAGAAATTCAGGATCACATCTAATTTGGCAAGAACGAAAATTCTTTATTTCCATCAAGTAATTTTCGATACAATAATCAGAGAAAAAATTAAACAATTACTGTCAAATAAGTAGCTTAGATACATAATTATGCAACAATGGCACAATTCATGCAATGGTATGATCAGATGTTATGATCAAAGGCCAGCAGTGAATGGCACATTTGTAGCAGGCAACCATGAGCTTCCAGCAATGAAATTATTCACAGTAAACTTCGATGCTTCTGAAGAACTAGTTATAACTCGATAACCACCCCATTTGACCCTCCCACTAGTAGGTGCACCTGGTCCAATGTTCTTGTATTCTCCATAATACAATGTCTTCAAAGCAAAATTACCGCTCCACTCGAGCCACCCAGCTGGGTCAACCAGGGTGTCTAGGAAAGATTGCATAAACACTGTGCGTGAATACTCCTTCCATGGCCTACCCAAGAATGTCTTGACTGAGCCGACAGACGATTTGAAGTCCGGTGCGGCCATGACACGCGAGTCGTGGATAGAAATGCCTGTGTTCTGGTTTGGGTCGGTTCGTCCCTGGGCTGTGATTGTGTTCTTTTGACCACTCATGGGCTTTCTTGCGTAAATCATGCAGTTTTGGAGAACCACAGCTGCGTTGCCAAAGATGAAGTCAACGGTGCCATAGACGTAGCAGTCTTTGTAGAACTGTCGTTGGGAGTGGGTGTAGAGTGTGTCTTGGTAGCCTTCGAAGCTGCAATGGTAGAAAACAGAGAGGTCGGCGCCTGATCGGAGGGCTACTGCTTGATGGTTCTCTGGACCAGCCGTGTTGCGGAATGTTATACCACGAGCAATAAAGCCTTCACCAGTTACCGCTGTAATTACACCCAAAAGAATCAAAGATCTATAAATATGGATTTTTAAGATTAGACTAATATTTTCAAGAGAAAAACGATAGCGTTTTATTAGATGATTAAGACAAACACATGAACATAGCAACTTCACACACTTTTAATTGTTCTAGTGCAAGAGAATGAAAAACATATATAAAGTCGGTAGTGTTTAGTATAATTTGAGGGGTTAAAACATAAGAGAATATGAGTTACTTACCGATACACTGCTGACTATGTTATTTTGTGTGAGATAATAGAGTCAAATAAAGTTTTTTTTTCTTCTTCTCTGTTTACTTGTTTCTTTTGAAAACCAACAATTCACACCACCTTTATTATCTATTGAGACAATGTCAATGGCGCTGCATTATTTTGACATTTCAATGACTTGTGACCTGAGATAGAGAGAAAGTGTCATGACTTACCAACAGTTGCAGAGTTGAAAGTTGTAGATCCACCTACAACACTGCGGCTGCCTGTGATAATGGTATACCTCAACCCATCACCAAGTAGAAAAACATTCTTCAACTTGATATCAAGGTTCTCCTTATAAACCCCTCTCTTCACATGTATCACAAACCTCTTACTCCCACTCCTCTTCGCTGCAACATCCAACGCCTCTTTGATCGTCTTATAGTTCCCCGACCCATCTTGTGCAACCACCACATCCGCCGCAGGTGTCGACTGCAACAGTTTCCTATCACCCGGTGACACCCAACTAGGAAAACCCTCCGTGTACAAATTTGTCACAGGTGGAACATTTGAGCTATTCCCGAGCGACAGTGTGTTACTAATGAGCTTGGACACATTGTTGGACATAAGGGGAAGCACAAAGTCCGAAACCCCAAGCTCCACGAACCCGGCCCGACATGTGTCAAGGTTTGTGAGGGCAGTGCTGAGCCAAGTTTGTGAGTCGTAGTCGGTGCATTTTATGGCAGGGTCTACAGTATGGTTGAGGAGTTTGATGGTTTCTTCATAAAGGCTCAAACAGTCGGCCCATGCAGCCTTTTCTTTCTTGTTTCTACACTTTTGCCCGAGCCACTTGTTGTGACTTTGGGCTTTGAGTGCTCTTTTCAGTGCTACTTGGATTGCAAGTTTCTTGAAGTCGGATATTTTATTGGGAATGGAGAGAGATTTTTGGTCATGGGTCAATGTGTATTTGCAAGTATCAGGGTAGGGGGTTTTTTTGCACCATGAATCTATGCCCGTGTTGAGAATGTTTGAAAGGGCTGGTGAGAAGAATAGAGCAAAGGAGACACAAAGGAAGAATGAACTAACTAGATTTGTTGCCATTGATGAGCTTCTTCGGCTAATTTCGTTGCTAGGATTTTGTGAAGGTTTTGTGTTTGGTGATCAGAAGTTGCTTATATATATAAAGGAGATTTGAGAAATGAAAAATGGGGTGTGGTGGTGACGGCGGGTTTGGAAGGGTGTTGTTTGAACGTGGAGGGTTGATAGAGACAGAGACAGTTTAATTCCAAAATAATAAGACGAAAGATTCTTATCTTATCTTATTATTCAGTGCTAAATAAACTATGATAATCTTACGTACCCAATGATGAAAGGACGTGATTAGAGCAAGTATGTATTCAACGCATATCTTGATCCATAATCACTGCATGTCATATATAAATTATTTGTGTAATATTCTCTTCAACCAAACACACAGATTATGGATAATGGTGATCGTGGATGGTTTTAAGACGTTTGCCAGTATTCTCTATCTGTTTTGATCAATTAGCTTAATTCACATTATTTTGGCCAACTGACCTAACTCACATTTATATTTTATCTAGAGTTAACATGCTTTGTAACGGATCAATTGAAGTCTATCTCAACGAAAAATTCTTCTTCTTCTTCTTCTTATTTTTATATAAGACTAGCTGACTAACACATTGTTTTAATTATAAACTTGTCCTCTGATAGAAGCGTCCCAACGATTTCCTTTACTTGTTGGAATTGCCTAGCTCATGAAGTTTGAAAAATATTGAGTCCAACATGAATTTTCTACTGAGTTCTGGAAAATAAAGAATAATCTACTAAATTAAAGTGGAACAGAATACATTAGGAAATTATTAGGCTCCTAAATCTTGACTAATCTCTAACTAGTGATAATTCCATGCCATTTCTGAATACATGAGCATTCAATAATAGCTGCAAGTCTGACTATTAGTTTAGGATGACTTTGAACAGCTTAAGCAGAAAGCGTTGCATATATATATCCCCACAACTATTTTTTTTTTTTAATTCTTCGGATAACTTTAATAAGTTTGATGGTTTCAACCTTGTGTGCCACTTCGATTCAGAACATTCACGAGATCTCGTAGAATGTTGAGTTTTCCTCTTTGGTTTAACAAACACGAATAAAGTAAAGAAGAGGTGCAATTTCATATCCCAAATTTGACGGAATAACTTATATTGAGCAGCGACGCTCATTTGTGCTAAAGTATTTGTTGATAAAGTTTAATACTTGCCAAACAATATATGCAAGTGATTAAGTTAAAACAATACTAGGTATCAATTTAGTAACGGACTGCTAAACCGACTTTGAAATATTAATAGGAAGGAATTCAAGAAAAGCAAATAAAATAGCACCGCCTGCCACTTTTATATTAGCTAGCTGGACAGTAATTGTATATGTCTATATATATTTGTTTGACAAATATATATGCTCTGCAGACTGCAGTATCTTCTCAATCTTATTAATTATTATGACCTTCTAACCAATAGCATTTTCTTTAATTAATTTATTCATCCGCCACGTGCATTCTGCAGTTACAGTTTAATCTTCTTACTATTTGGAGAAACAGTTCGTCCCCATGCAAATTTTCGTCATAGATAACGATATTATTTAAAATCTGCACGTAAATTTGTGCGAAATTAAGCCATGGTTGGTACAACTTATGTTTTCTTAATGTGGCTGCATGGATGGTACAACTAATTACAACTCATACTAAAATCAGTACAAGTAGTTAGTAATGCTATATTCTTTCTAACATCCACCGATCGATACACCAATTAGGGAAGAAGCATATGATTGAAACCTTCCATAAAAGATCAAGCTTATATTCAAGAAAATCAGTTGGTATTAACTCACAAAATGGACAGTTTACCATTTTAGGATGACCACACACTTTTCTGTTTTTATATTACAAGCAAGTCTCTTTCCTCTTACCATCCTAACGCTACAAACTCCATAGTTGTCGCTCCTTATTTCGGCTTGGAGTCGGTGGTAGCCCCTCTCTTAATTTTTATAGAATTCCTCCTTCATTTTTCGATGGATTCTTGTATATCTATTTTTTATCTTAGTATTTTCGTCAATAAGTGCCTCTTTCGTGAGATTATTTGGGCATCTCTTAGTTAGTATTTTAATTTTGTGTTGGTATGTTTTTAGCTTCTCTTGGATCTACTTTGTGGTTATCAGTATCTTCCGATGTTTGTTGTCAAAGAGTGTCCTCATGTTCATTATGAAGGTTTTGTGCGTCTAAATTCTCAAAGGCCAATTCACAAAGTGCTTGACCTTTTTATCGAGATGGAGTTCCTTTAGTTTTAGTATCATCTCAGTCCTTCGTGTTTGAATGTGGATGATTTCAAGACTTGAATGTGTTCCTTATTCTCGGGCCTGTCTAGCCCTCAAATCTACCAGTACGGTGGCAACTAGTTTGGCCAAGTTGGTCGTTTATGTTTTGTTAAGTTTGTTTGGATTGAAGACCTTTGAATGTTATCTTTAATGTCCTCTTTGATATTTGTATTAATTCTTAAGTTATAATAAAACTGCTATTGCATTGTCGTAAACAACATTACGACTGATATTTTTATTCTAAACTAGTCTAGAGAGAGAAGGATTTTGATCCAGTTGTAAATTCTATATATATATATATTTTTTTTTTTGAGTGGGCAAGGTATAAAAAAAACTTTTAAATCATTTTATACAACAAAGATCCTTTAAAATTAATCAAAACTATTACCATCCATAAAAAATTAAAAACAACGACAACATTACAATTTATGAGCTACAGTTGTTCACGACAAGTTTTATCATAAAAAGCTCGCGTTATGGTTTCGTTATCAGTACAAGCGAATTTGAACTATTTGGTGGATCGTTGGTTTCTAAATTAAAAACTTCTCCATATAAATTAACCAATCACAATATAAATCCCATGTCATTTAATCAAACAATTTGAGAGTAATTTTAAACATAAAAAATACTCTCTATCAGCAAACACTCTAATCATGTTTCATAAAATCTCAAGTAACCTAATCCAAAATAATCATAAAATCATAATCACCAATTCAACATCTAAATTAAAAACTAATGACACGGACGTTGATGTAGCCTATTGAGGCCTCGTGCCCAAGAACGACCCGAATTTCCTACAAGTCTTTCTATTAGAGCAAAAAGCGGAACTCCAAGTGAATCTTAATCATATTATAAAGCATAGGCAAGGAATCCTAACCTTTGACCCACAAAAATAAATAACATAAAATAAAAAATAATATTTATGTGAAGAACGAACAATTCTTTGGGTGATTATTGACAATGTCCTCACCCTTCTAATAAAATTAAATCAACTTGTATAAAGTCAACTTTTTTAAATTAATAATATTTTGTAATCTACAATTTTGGTATGCGACAAGTAAAGAAAACTATCAAATTCGGTGGCCAGTTGACATCATCTGCAAGAGACGTTTGTTTAGCTCAATAATATGAACCAATTATGAGGTTGGTGGTGCTATTAGATGCTCAATTTGTACTTGTTAATATAATTCCAATTCTGCTTTTATATGTAACGGGTTTGTTTAAGTAAAAATGCCTCGGAAATTGGTATAACTTATCATTTTGATCCATGACATTGAAAATTGATAGAAATGATTCTATGTTTGTCAATTGTTAATTATTTTGATCATTCAGTGAAAAATCTACATCTTCCTCTCTTTGCTGCATTTTTTCTGTAACTTTTATTTTTATTTGGTGGAGGAAAAAATGGAATTTAGTTTCCTCCTGTTCCTCCTTCCTCTTTCTACATAATCACCACCACCGCCATCGCAGCAGCCTTCTTCAACCATCATCAGCCTCAGATCCTCCAGCTCAAGCAACCCCAAAAGCCGATTCCTTTTTTTTTTTTTTTTTTTTTTTTTTTTGCCGCATCGTAATCCCATCCCTAAATTTCCAATTCTTCATTGATATGGTTTCTGAATCTGAGGGATCGAACCCAAAGGCGAGCCCCAAAGACCTTGCCCTTTCGATATTCGTAAAGGGTAGCTAGTTATGGACGGTGATCCTTGGAGCGCTCGTCTTTCGTTTAAATAAGCCAGCATGACATCATCATATAGGCCAGGCATCAATTGCCTTGATGAGAGATTTTTCAGTATGATGGGCACACGAGGTGGTACACCATGTGTCACTATACAAATAGTGAGATATGTGTGTTAAAAAGTTAACAACTTAAAAAATAAAATTTTCCATCATTTACATAAAAACACGTGATGTACCATCCGTATTTCCATCACAATACAAAATTTCTCGACTTATTGGGCTGGGGTGAAGAAGGTTTTCGGGTTTTGATGCTTGCCATTGTCGTTTGTTCTGTTCCAACGACTCACAAATTTCAATTCCACAACCGTCAAGAAGCAATTCAATTAGATCAATCAGCTTCATGCATTGATAGGAATACATAATGTGCTTCAAACTTTGATAGTTTTTGGCAACCAATCAAACATAAAGAGGAAACATAGAGTTCTGAGAAAAACACACTCGAAGGACAAACTGATCAATTAATCACCAAGGATGTATCCAAATGACACTGTCAATCTGCTAATTAGGTACCGAAACAAGAGTTTCATCATTGCGAATCCCGTATTCAATCGCGTTAAACGTAGCAAACCAGCTTATGTTCTCCATGGCATTCAACCCTAGATTCCTAATCAACTCCTTGTCATATATGACTGCAACTCTATCCTTTTCATCATCAATGGCTTTCAACTAAAATAAAATTCGAATACCTAAAGAAGGCATGCATTTGAAACAATTTTGGTCCTGCATATTGATAAAGCACCAAATTCAAATCCCGAAACAGATGGCTTGGCGCCTTCCACTGCAACTGCTTCTTCACAGTCCAACTCAACTCAAACATCTTCTTGATAAAACAATTTCATTTATTTGCTGTTTATAAGTTATCTCTTAGGTTTATGCATCTCTTGTTTTTGTCAAGAGTTTTACTTGTATACAACTCAATCATGTAAATCTATAGAAGAAAATACAAATCACACTACTCAGTATCGAGCAATTTTATGCAACTCATAATCTCTTCTAAGCAATCTTTTATGGTATCCCCGAGCGACGTCTAACGACACTCTCAAAACCCTTTTTTTTTCTTTCCTTCCACTGCTTCCATGGCTGCTTTCAACACCACCTCAAACACTGCCTTTCCCTCTCTTCCAAACGTTTCCAACTTCCTCACCATTAAACTCGACTGAACCAATTACCTATTATGGCAAGCTCAGCTCATACTTGAGTGGTCGAGAGGTCTCCTTTCGTTTGTTGATGGCTCCAACAAATGCCCACCTGCATTCCTCAGTGACGATGCTGGAAATCTCACCGATACAATCAATCCTGCTTTTGAAGACTTGATCAAACAGGACCAGATGCTTGTCTCGTGGTTAACCAGTTCCCTCACTGCCGCCATTCTGTCCAGCGCGTCCACCATTGTCAATAAGATCAGTGCTGCTGATGCCTGGTCTACCCTCGAAGAGAGATATGCTTCAGCTTCTCATAATCGCATCGATTGCGCAAGAGTGGGATGAACTGAGCTAGCCATAATGGGTAATTGGTTCGGTCGAGTTTAATGGTGAGGAAGTTGGAAGCGTTTGGGAGAGGGGGACGGCAGTGTTTGCCATAATGGGTAATTGGTTCGGTCGAGTTGGTGTTGACTGTTGAGAGCAACCATGGAAGCAGTGGAAGGGAAAAAATATAGGGTTTTGAGAGTGTCGATCGTTAGATGTGGCCCTGGGATACCATAAAAGATTGCTAGAGGAGATAATGAGTTGCATAAAATTGATCGATACCGAGCAGTGTGATTTGTATTTCCTTTTATAGACTTACATGATGGAATTGTATACAAGTAAAATTCTTTACAAAAACAAGAGATAGACCAAAGAGATAATTATAAACACCAAATAGATGAAACTGTTTTATGAAGAAGATGTTTGAGTTGAGTTGGTCTGTGAAGAAGCAGTTGCAGTGGAAGGCGCCAAGCCATCTGTTTCGGGATTTGAATTGGCTGCGTTATCAGCAAAGGTTTTTGAATTTGGTATATGGTGAGTGTGCGACTGCGATATATAAGTGCAGAGAAGCATTACATGCTTTTGCAACTAACCGAAAGGATCTGTAGGAATACAAACTCTGCTGCATACATGCCTTTAGTTTTGGTAACTAATCGACATACAAAACCTACCAAACCAGCTTCTCGTCTCCATCATCCATGGAGTTAATAACACAATCAATCACCTTCAGTTTTATTCAGCTAATATCCGTATTATTCCTCCATCCACCTGCCTTGCAGTGCAAGGCAACTTGTTTTTTTTTCCTAGAAGATATTGAGCCTTATTCAAAGTTCCCACTCTCCTATTTGCCACCTTCTTCGTATATGCTGGTACAATCGAATCAGAAATACTGAAAGCTTGTATCATTGAAACGGCTAGATATGTTCTCAAATTCAAAAACATAGATTGTAGGGGAAAACAATACATGCTTCGTATTGACAAATGTGCAGAACTAGAACTGTGACTCCTTGAATTAATCTGATACAATGCTTGCAATATTAAATCACGTCAAACAGTCCATCCAGCTTACCATTATTAAACTTAGATGGGTTATTGCAGCAACCAATATCCTCTTCTTTGCAGCATTGAGTCTCTAGTTAGCCTTTTCTTATCACTCAAACAAAATTTACCATTAGATACGACATCGAGGAATCATGCACCTCCTTGCACTACGCGATTTAGTAGCTGTAGTTGGCTGTTTGCCTCCGGGTAGGCTTCTCTGTAAAACTCTAGCATCTTTGCCCGAATAATACAATATCCTGTTCACCAAAAAAAAAAAAAAAAAACAAATACTTGTTATTTTAAGGGCGAGGAAGGTTATTGTCCTGTATTGTTTTCATAAGAGTTTTCTTCACAGAAGCAAAGCTCTCTGTCAAAAAACAAAAATTTTGAATTCGTCACTGCTTCTATTTGTGGCCGCACTTTTCTGGTATAAACAAGGTATGTTCATCGAAGCAAATGACTTTTAACCATTTTATTAAGTGAGTTTTGACGAAACATTCCTTGTACTGTTCACTTTAACGAAAAATCATATTTTTACTTTAAAAAGTCTATCCTGGTATTATTCATTTATTACACATTTTATCTTTTTCGTTAAAACTCAAAATTTTCAAACATTTTTTTGTTAGTTTTTCTTTTTATTAATCCAAGCAAGATTTCTTTATATAAAGAAATTTGAGGTGAATTAACTTGCAAATTTGTAACCGTAGAAATTAATCCATCCAATTGGTGAAAATGCACAGTCAACAAAAGTCAAACCAAAACAATAAATTACAGAGTGGGCCACACTTCCAAATGTTTTTTTTTTCCTTTTTTTTTTTTTTCGGACATCGAAAGCTCAAAACCCCTCTCAGTTCGAGATCGACGACGAAGAAGACGAAGATGCAGCAAAGAAAACCAGCGTCAGGAAGGCCTACTGGAACAGATGGCTCAGATTTCAACTACCGCATGGTGGTTGACTCTCGTAAGCTCCAGATGACGCGCTCATCCTTTTCCTTTGGTTTCTATCACTTTCTCTGCAACCAAACAGATCTCTAGGTCCCCGAACGCTTTAAATTAATGAATCTTTTCAAATATTTGATTTGGGGTTTTCGAATTTCAGGGTATCAGAAGGTAGCTAAAGGGAAGTCTCGTCTGTACTCTCTTATTCTAACTCAGGTACTCAATTTCTCTTTCTCTGTGTTCCTCTTCAATGGTGCCTCTGTAATTTCTTGAAGCATTGGTTTTCAAATAATATTTGTTGAAATTGCATTGCTGTAATTAAGTGGGTTTCTGTTCGTTCCTGAAGTAGAAATCATATTTCACTGGGTTAATGTGCATGAATTTTTCGAGTAATGAATTAGAGAATTTTGTTTTGTAAGAAACCTAATTTTTGTTGGTATTAGAGTTCAATAATTTGAGAGTTTCAAGCAGAAATGAACAATCAATAGACAACACGAGGCAGTTCATTCGGTTCCGCTACAGTTCTATGTTCATAGGGAAAAACATGGCTTCAGCGGATCGTTATTGAACTGGATAGGTTGGTTTAGGGGTTTTTTTCTGTCCCTCAATACGTAGCCGAACTATGCACAAAACCTTGCAATAGTTCGACTGGTACCCTGAAATATTCCGGTTCTGAAGCAGAACAAATTCAGTCATGTATCCTCTTACTTGGATTGTGTTAGATAGGGACAATCTATAATTGGGGTCTCACAACAGATGCCTTGCACAAGTAGGTTGAGTTCAAACCGCCAACTCAAAACGTTTTGGGTAGATTCTTTTGTGATTTAGCTGGAATTTTGAAGTGATTTTCAAGAATTTTTAGTGTTAGATACAATCTGTAATTGGGGTCTCCTCCAAAAAGAGCATAAACCGGTTTTGGTGATCTAGGTTAACATTTAGATATCAGGCCAACTAGACATGTGATGTATAGTTAAATAAAGGTTTTGAACAAATTATTTACGGCACTAGCAGAAAAGGGAACATATTCTTATGAGATGGTTGAGTTTTGGCTCTACCATCATGTGTAATTATTCTTGAAACCTCAGCTCATTCATAAGTCTACTTGTCTATCCATCAGTTTTAAACTGATTCTCTTATGATAGCATTTGCTCTGCTGCAGGCCGTCATTCAATTGACAGGAGTCCTTTATGCTTTTCTGTTTACATCAGATGGGGAAGGTCCAAATGTGATTGCCATCTCATCTGTTGCTATTGGTTCTATTTCTTTGATAATCGGGGAGTTGGGTAGGTGTTGCTAAATCCTTTGTTTTGTTTTTTTTTCACGGTTGATAAGTTTTTGCAACTGTTCATATTCTACAACTTTCTGTTGTGCCAAAGGTCGAAGGCGCAGCCGAGTGTCTTTGTTGAAAGTGTACATGGTCGCATCATCTATTGGAATACTTCTCTCCATTGCTTGTGTTGCTAAGGGAAGTTTAACACTAGCGGTAAGTCAGTTCTTCATTTCCAACTGTTGGTTATCACTTAGGAGTCTGAAACCTGTCGGAATTTCCTGATTGTTGTACTGTATGAAATCACTGGGTAGGTTTTGCAAAATTCAAGTAACTGGGAAACAAAGAAATTTGAACTTGTCGAGGCCACTCGCACTGTAATTGGTCAGTATCTGTAATTTCTCCATGCGATGTTAATAGAATTAAAGATGAACAAAGTCTGATATTTGTGTGTCAAATTTGACAGCATTCCTGGTTCAAATATTTGCAATCAGCACAACCACTTCTCTCATCGGTAACATGTCTCCTCCGAAAAGAGCCTCGTAGCTGCGTCCTATAGCCACAATCATTCCAGTAATTTACAAGAATTTTTAGTGTTCAGTTTCTTTCGGGGTTCAAATTTTGTAATCCGAGGAAGATATTTTAAAATGTTTCTAGATTATGGACTATTTTGACTGGTGACCATTTTACATGTTTTTGAAACAAATCAGTGACGGTAGGGAATGTAATTTGATCCGTTAATAGAAATTGGATGACATATGTTTTTCTATGTATTTATGCCAAGTTGCGGATAAATTCTAAGCAACGGCATTAGAGGGATGTTATTATGCCGCGTTGTCTTGGATGTCTTATTTTTCCTTTTAGATTTGTGATGAAATCGCTGAAATGCTGACCGGAACTTGTTAATGTATATGTATGCTGCTTTAGCTCCTCCGTGCATCTGAGACCAGGTTGGAACGAAACTGATAGGCTGGCGTTGCTCGCCATCAGAGCTCAAAAGACGGAGGACCCCAATCAGATCTGGAGTTCATGGAACGAATCGTCTCACTTCTGCTTGTGGAGTGGCGTGACATGCTGCCGGCGGCATCGTCAAAGGGTCACCGGGTTGACCTAACAAGGCTAAAATTGGTAGGTTCCATGTCCCCGCACAGGAAATTTAGGCTTCATAAGAGAGCTATATTTCCATAACAACAGTTTGACTGGCAAAATGCCACCAGAAAATGGGCATTTGCGCAGATTGCAGGTATTACGTTTGAACATCAACTCACTCAGCGGTTTTGTCCCTGTCAATATACCCAATTGTCTCAACCTCGTTCTTGTCAGTTTCGGTTGCAATCGATTAGAGGGTAAAATTCCTAAAGAGTTTGCCTGAAAATTTTCCAAATCTCAAAACTCTTTCTCATTTCTCGGAATCAATTTGCTGGATCCATTCCCTGGTCAATATCCAATGCCAGGAATCCATTGAACTTTGAAGTTCAAGATAATAAACTCACTGGAAAATTACCAAATTTACAGAAGCTCGTTAACCTTGAAACCTTCAACATTTACCGCAACCAGCTCGGAACAGGTACTGATGGTGACCTTAGTTTTGTCTCTGACTTGACCAACGCTGGAGTAAGGTGGTCGGTATTCTACGTGAACAGTTTTGGAGGGGTATTGTCCACATCCATCTCCAATATCTGAACCAAGCTTGAAATCCTTGGGGTTCAAGAAAACCTACCCTACGGAACATCCCTGCCGGGATAGGCAATCTAGTCAACTTGAATTATTAGGTTTTGGGAATAATGGCTTCACAGATAACATCCCTACTGACATTGGAAAGCTTCACAGTTAACAGGTTCTCTTCCAATGGAGATCGGAAAGTTAAGCAATTTAGGCTTATTAGACTTTCCAATAACATGTTATCAGGTGAACTTCGCGGACTATTGGCTCTTCTGTGAATCAAACAAGTTCCGTTGGAATAAGAGGATCCATTAGTTATGCTGCTCCAGGTAAATTGTCCATATGATTATCTGTCTTTTATCCTTCCTTTTACTTAGCTTGAAAAAAAAAAAAGTTTAATTAATGAGTTCACTGAGTCTCTTTTTGTGATGTTTGAATTGTAGAGTATGGCATGGGAAGTGAGGTAACAACAAATGGAGATGTGTACAGCTTTGGCATTCTCTTGCTTAAGTTGTTTACAGGGAAGAGACCCACCAACGGCATGTTTGTTTCAACCTTCACAACTGTCAAGATGGGTATCGAGTTATAGAAATTGCAGGTTCAGTGCTCGTTCAAGAAATAGGAAACTCGGACGCGAGCACCAGTTCTGCAGCCACACCTAATCAGCGCAAAAACACCAGTGCTACAAAATTCAAGTGTGTTTGAGTTTAATATTTAGAATGGGAATCTCGTGTTCTGCTGGATCTCCGAGAGACCGAAAGGATATCGGCGATGTTGTAACCGAGTTGCAATCCATCAGGGTCCTTTTTGGAAAGAAGCTTTTGCTTAAACTTGTGATGGCCTTAGCGGCCACTCTGTGCTCCTCGCTTTTTTCATTTCTCTTATTCCTACTTAAATTTTTATTTCCTGTATCTGCAATGAAGTCTTGTGCACAAACAAGTTCTTTTCGTATAAGAGCTATCGTAAGTATACAGCAATGTTGCAGAAATCTCTAATCTGAAATTTGAAACACTTTGATGAAAGAGCCTAGTAGCTGCTTCCTGTACAGCCACAATCATGTCAATGATGTGTGGTTGTAATGCGGAATTGGGGTTGCTGTCTGAATCTTCCATTTGTGTCTAAACTTGCAGTTCACCTACGCCACTTAGTACTATAATAATATAACTTGATAACGTTTCTTTATTTGTAAATAGAAATACAAAGTTCAACTAATATAAATTACGAATTTATAATATCACATTATTATTGCGTACTAGTAAGTAGCTTCTCTAACTTATTAGTTATTGCTGTCTTGATTTTCTTAGTTACGACATTGCAGCACTTCCTAATATATGATTGATGGTAGCGATTTGTACCACCGACTTACAGTTGGTGTATAGCCACAAGTTCGTGATTTGTTCTACATTATTTATCCTCAACCATCCACGTTAATTGATATCTTTGAAGATATTATTCCAATAGAGTCCAAGATCACCGCCCCTCAACAGTATCGCAAATAAATAATCCATATTGATCGTGTCATGACCCATTGATTGTCCAGCAACGTTTCACACTACATTAGAGCAGTGCATGCAGACTCCGCACTTGGCATGCGCATTGCTTGCACGTATATGATGAACTTATTTAATTTATTATTATTGTGACGTTTTAGTTCAAAGAAAGTATTATTATATTTGAAAACTATTAAACAACCATAAAAAATTGAGCTAGGAGTTGACGTGTGAAAGCCAAAAATAAGAAAGCTTTAAGTATATAAAAACAAAATCTATCTAGGGTTTAGGGTTTTTCTTTTGTCAAACTAACCATTACCTACTAGAAATCTTTACGGTATAACTTTCTGGTATTTTTCCCCTTTCACTTATGAAGAATTGTACATATAAGAGAGCTTAAAACCATGAACCGAATTGTCCATTGACCAAAACAAAAAGAAATCCACTATAAATGAAACAATTGGGGTGAAGTGTGAAGGGGGCCAGTAGCTTAAATGTGGCAGTTTTATCGTTGTAGTTTATTCATAATAATGCATAGCATTGATGGAAGAATGAAAAGAGCGGGCAACAGGGCCATCATCTTTGGCAGCGCCGGTCACTTTGGAACTGCTGACTTTGGACCTCGTCGACCATCAGTATTATATATGTACGTACGTAGTCCAACATAGTTACCAGTTTCACATTCGATCACTGCGTACCCAACTCAAAATGATGAAGGTTTCTGTTGTGAGATTAGTTTCGATACTCTCACTTTTCAATCTATTATTTGTCTGCTGCTTTAGCTCCTCCGTGCAGATGATACCAGGCGGGAACGAAACAGATAGGCTGGCGTTGCTTGCCATCAAAGCTCAACTAAAGGAGGATCCCAATCAGTTCCTGAGTTCATCGAACGAGTCGTCTCACTTCTGCCTATGGCGCGGCGTGACATGCAGTAAACGACATCGTGAGAGGGTCACTGGATTGGACCTTTCGGGACAAAAATTGGCGGGAACCATATCCCCACACATAGGAAATCTAAGCTTCCTAATGGAGCTGTATTTCCAGAACAACAGTTTGAGCGGCCAAATCCCACCAGAAATTGGGCGTCTGCGTAGACTGCAGGTATTACGCTTGAGCATCAACTCACTCAGTGGTTTTATTCCTGTCAATATATCCAATTGTCTCAACCTTTGGGGTCTCGATTTTGGTTACAATCAGTTAATTGGTAAAATTCCTAGAGAGTTTGGCTCCTTCCCAAAACTCAAAAGACTTGTTCTTGAATTTAATACTCTAGTCGGAGAGATCCCTGACTCATTGGGGAACCTTTTCTCTTGAAATGCTTGCTTTCTATCTGTTGGATTTGTGAACAAGTGGACAACAAGACAATATAACTTTCGGCTATTAAAATATGAAAAAGGTGGACAACACCTTACCTTGTTTTAGGGAAGAAAAAAAGGGAAAAAGTTTTCTTTCTCTTCTACACCCGTGGGTTTTGGTCCTTTATGTTTTGGTGGTTGCCTTTGCAGCCTAATAATAAATAAGAGAAAGAGATAGAAAGCTACGGAGGGTGAGTAGAAAGAGTGGAGCTCATTTTATGTTTTGAGCTGAATACAGAGAGCAAGGAGAGCAGAGGAGAGAGCATTCGGCTCTCCCATTTGAAACAGTGCTGCTCCTTCCCATTTGTTTGTAATCCCCTTTTGATAGTGATCACTCAATCAAAGATATTTGTGCTACATTTTGTGGCTTTTGGGAGAGAAGGCATTTGGTATATGTTTCCATCTTCTCCATTTGTTCTTTGTGAGAGTGAGAGCTATTGGGTGTATGTGGGCTATTGGGTTTGAGAGTTAAAACTCTATTTGTAATCTCCTTTTGACATTAGTGGAATTTCCTCGCCGTCTCGGAACTGGATGTAGGCTTACGCCGAACCAGTATAAATCCTTGTGCCTTTTTTGTTGGATTATTTGTCTTGTCATATTTTGCCGTATTAGCTTTGGTTTCATATTTGAAGCTTCCGCACAACAAGTGGTATCAGAGCTCTGGGTTTTGACTTGGGGCTTTGTACAAGTATGTCTATGAAACCATCGAATATGTCGGTGAAATATGATATTGAAAAATTCAATGGGAGGAATGATTTTAGCCTTTGGCGGGTTAAGATGCGAGCTGTGCTAGTTCAACAAGGGTTGCTTAAGGCGCTACAGGGTGTGGAAGCCTTGCCACAAGATTGGTCTGCTGAAGAAAAAGAAGACGCTTTGAATCGAGCACATAGTGCAATTATGTTATCACTATCTGATGAAGTTCTTCGTGAGGTGGATAATGAAACTACTGCAGCTGGTTTGTGGCTTAACTTGGAGAGTAGATATATGACCAAATCCCTCACCAATCGTTTGTATTTGAAGCAACGTTTGTACACTCTCCGTATGACTGAAGGTACGCCTATTCAAAATCATCTTGATGAGTTTAATAAGGTTATTATGGATTTGAAAAGTATGGATAATAAAATTGATGATGAGGATCAATCTTTGATTTTGTTGTGTTCTTTACCTCCTTCGTATGCGAATTTTGTCGAAACTTTGTTATATGGGAGAGATTCTATTTGTATGGAGAATGTAAAAGCCGCTTTGAATTCAAGAGAGTTAAAGAACAAAATATTTGGAAATTTGAATGATTCTCATTCGAGGCTTTGATAGCAAGAGGCAGAGATAGGGAATATGGTTCATGTAGTAATAAAGGAAATTTGAGATCGAAGTCTAAGACCAGAAACAACACATGCAACTATTGTCGCAAGGAAGGGCATTGGAAAGTTGATTGCCCAAAACTGAAAGATAATGCTAGTGCGAGTGCGAATGTCGTTGATGACGACTTCGACTTTGTTCTATGATGACAGTTGGCTACACCAGATTTGAAATTTTTTGGATTAAAAAAAAAAAAAAAAAAATCTGGTGTTGTGGGTACTCTTAAATCTCTCCACTACATATGGAGATTTAAGAGTTTGTAAGGATTCCTTGTTATGATTTGAGAAAGTTGCTTAGTAGCCTCTATGTATGTTTGTGTTATGTCAGTTGCTCTTCATCGGTGTTTTTTATTGTTTTGGATATTGGTATGGTTTTGCTTTTTTTTTTGTAAAGTTGAATTCAGTGAGGGCCAATTTGTTGAGTTCTGCAAGTTTGGATAGTGAGGCACCACACTATTTTGGATACACCACATGCACTGCAGAACATTTGTGTGGAACCCTCGTGTAGAAGGCAAGTTATGCTTTCTAACTTTGTTTGGGCTATGGACATTTGGTTGGATTTGTTTGTCACTGCTATTTGGTCTGTTGGTCTCCATCATCTGCAATTAGTTTTCTTGAAGACTCCAGTTGAGGTATGGTTTTGGATCTCCTACTGATTATTTGAATTTGAAATTTTGGTTGTCCTGTTGGTGCTCATGTGATGATGGTAAACTTGAGTGAAAGGCATATTTTCGTATGTGGTATGTGAGACTTTGTTGCCAAATTTGTAATCAGTTTTGACTTGGAGAATGTGCCATGCTATGTGAATGAGTCTATTGGTGCAGTTTAAGACCATGGTGTTTGTGAGCAGGTGGTGTTCATTGTGTGTCCAACTTTGGTATGGTGTACTTGATCTTTTGTTGGTGATATTGAAGAATCTCAGTTCTTCGTTTGAATCACCTTTTGTTTTGATCAAGGCACTTATGGTTTGCAAAATTGGAGAAGATGGTAGAGAAATGGTCTACTTTTGTTGGCTTTGGTACAGTTTGAGTCGATGTGGAAATTGTTATGAGCACTGGTAAGTTTGGGGAATTTGATTTAGTTCCCGTTATCTTTAGTGTGTACTTTGAGTGCTTATGGTGATTGTTGATTCGATTCTCTGTGATGCTTTCGGAACTTGGTCAAGGTGGAGATTGTTGGATTTGTGACCAAGTGGACAACAAGACAATATAACTTTCGGCTATTAAAATATGAAAAAGGTGGACAACACCTTACCTTGTTTTAGGGAAGAAAAAAAGGGAAAAGGTTTTCTTTCTCTTCTACACCCGTGGGTTTTGGTCCTTTATGTTTTGGTGGTTGCCTTTGCAGCCTAATAATAAATAAGAGAAAGAGATAGAAAGCTACGGAGGGTGAGTAGAAAGAGTGGAGCTCATTTTATGTTTTGAGCTGAATACAGAGAGCAAGGAGAGCAGAGGAGAGAGCATTCGGCTCTCCCATTTGAAACAGTGCTGCTCCTTCCCATTTGTTTGTAATCCCCTTTTGATAGTGATCACTCAATCAAAGATATTTGTGCTACATTTTGTGGCTTTTGGGAGAGAAGGAATTTGGTATATGTTTCCATCTTCTCCATTTGTTCTTTGTGAGAGTGAGAGCTATTGGGTGTATGTGGGCTATTGGGTTTGAGAGTTAAAACTCTATTTGTAATCTCCTTTTGACATTAGTGGAATTTCCTCGCCATCTCGGAACTGGATGTAGGCTTACGCCGAACCAGTATAAATCCTTGTGCCTTTTTTGTTGGATTATTTATCTTGTCATATTTTGCCGTATTAGCTTTGGTTTCATATTTGAAGCTTCCGCACAACACTATCAAAATAAATTGCCGGGTAACATCCCAAATTCCCTTGGTCAGTTGACAAAGTTAACATTTTTCGTATTAGGCTCAAATAATTTGTCTGGTATCGTCCCTCCCTCCATTTATAATCTCTCCAGTATAGTTACTTTCGACATACAACAAAATCAAATTCGAGGGTCTATTCCATCAGACTTGCCTAAAAAATTTCCAAATCTTGAAGGCTTTTTGATTTCTTGGAATCAATTTACCGGATCCATTCCTGTGTCAATATCCAACTTGACAAATTTAGTGAACTTTGAAGTTCAAGATAACAAACTCACCGGAAAAGTACCAAATTTACAGAAGCTTGTTAACCTTGAAACCTTCAACATTTACAACAATCAACTCGGAACTGGTACAGATGGTGACTTGAGTTTTGTCTCAGACTTGACCAATGCCACAGAGTTAAAGTGGTTGATTGTATACTTCAACAATTTTGGAGGGACGTTGCCCACATCCATATCCAATCTCTCAACCAAGCTTGAAATCTTTGGGGTTCAAGGAAACAAACTATACGGGAACATCCCAGCTGGGATGGGCAATCTAGTCAACTTGCAATTATTAAGTTTTGGGAAAAACAACTTCTCAGGTTACATCCCTTCTGACATTGGAAAGCTTACAAGACTTAACCAATTGGATTTTGAATCCAACAGGTTATCAGGGAGTGTTCCAACCTCTCTACAAAATTTAACAATGTTAAGCTTGCTTGAACTGCAAGGAAATAATCTTCAAGGCAATATACCTTCAATCTTCGGGAAATTCAACAGTATATTGCATCTGGATCTTTCTCAAAATAACTTCAACGGCACAATACCTCAAGAAGTTATAGGCCTCAACTCCTTATCAATTACTTTGAACTTGTCTGGAAACCAGTGAACAGGTTCTCTTCCAATGGAGGTCGGAAAGTAGAGCAATTTAGGCAAATTAGACTTTTCCAATAACATGTTATCAGGTGAACTTCCTGGTAGTATTGGTTCTTGTGTGAAGTTAGAAGTCCTACAATTGCGAGGTAACTTATTCAATGGATCGATTCCTTCTTCAATGGTTTCATTGAAAGGGATTCAAGATTTGGACCTTTCTCGTAACAATTTGTCAGGTGAAATTCCAAAGTTTTTAGAGGGATTTGCCTTGAATAATTTGAACCTATCTTTTAATGAGTTTTGGGGAGCAGTACCAATTGAAGGTGCTTTTAAGAATGCGAGTTCGACTTCATTTGCTGGAAACGCCAGGCTATGTGGTGGTATTTCTATTCTCCAACTTCCCAAGTGCAACTCCAAAGTGTCCAAGAATGCCAGATTGTCCACTAGCTTGATATTAATATTCTCTTTAGTATCTGGGTTTGCATTTCTTGGAATGGTGATGGTGATTTCTTTTTTATTTGTTTGTTCATCAAGAAAGAAACACAAAGGAACCGCACCAAGCACTTTGGGAAACTCTTTTTTGCAACTGTCCTATGGTACTCTGCTCAAAGCTACTGATGGGTTCTCTCCAACAAATTTGATTGGCGTGGGTGGTTTTGGATCTGTGTACAAAGGACTTCTGGACGATTTTGAAACTCAGCCTGTTGCTGTCAAGGTGTTTAACATGTTACGCCAAGGAGCCTCTAAGAGTTTCATAGCTGAGTGTGAAGCAATGAGAAATATCCGGCACCGAAATCTTGTCAAGGTTATAACTGCATGTTCAAGTGTTGATTATCATGGTAATGATTTCAAGGCTTTGGTGTATGAGTTCATGGAAAACGGGAGCTTAGAGGAGTGGTTGCACCCAACTACCGGGACACCCAAGAATTTGAGTCTTCTTCAAAGGCTCGAAATCGCCATTGATGTTGCAAGTGCATTAGATTATCTTCATAATGACAGTGAGACACCAGTTGTTCATTGTGATCTCAAGCCCAGCAATGTACTTTTGGGGAAAGAATTGACTGGACATGTTTCTGACTTCGGACTCGTAAGATTTCTCCCAAACCTATCCAGTAATTTTCCGGAGAACCAAACAAGTTCCGTTGGAATAAGAGGATCTGTTGGTTATGCTGCTCCAGGTAAATACGTCCACATGTTTCTTTGGTTTTCCTTCTTTTTACTTGGCTTGGTAAACAAATTCAAATAATTACGAGTTTATATATGTTGCTCACTTTGATGTTTGAATTGTAAGTGAGGTTGCAACAAACGGGGACATCTATAGCTTTGGCATTCTTTTGTTAGAGATGTTCACGGCGAAGAGACCCACTGACAATATGTTTAGCGATAATTTCAACCTCCATAATTTTGTGAAGGCGGCTTTGCCCCAGCGAATTACAGAGGTTGCCGATTCACTGCTTCTTCTTCGCGAAGGAGGAAACTCGGGCGCAAGCACTAGTACTGCCACTCCCAGTCAATGCAGCATGACTACCGAAAAAATCCAAGTGTGTTTGAGTTTAATATTTCAAATTGGAATCGCGTGTTCTGCGGAGTCCCCGAGAGACCGAAAGGATATCGACGAAGTTATATCTGAATTGCGATCCATCAGGGTTGTTCTTCTTGGAAAGAAGCTTTTTCCCAACAAGTTCAGCCAACTACGTTTTAAGTCAATTTCTTCCAACAAGTTGAATATGAAGGGTCGCTCATCCAATTTCTAAACATGACAGAAGTTGGATGTGGCTCAATTATTCGTTATTGTTCGCTACCGTACACAACACGGTGTTGTTTAAATTCAGAAAAATCTTTTTCTCTAGTATTCGTTCCTACCAATTCATTATTTGTTATGGATGTGGCTCAATTATTGTTGTAAATTTATGACTAACAAGCGTTGTTCAAACATAAAGATGGAATGGGAAAGAAAAGAAAAACCATCGGAAAGCAAACTAACTATGTTCAAGGGCCACTGAATCACTGATAGTTAGTGGCTATAGCTCAATGTCCATTGATGAGCCACAGACTCCATCTCAAGGATTTGACAGCGTTTATTTGTTTGATATCTTTTGGCGTTCTGATTTTGTAATTAGGAGGAAGATAGTTTGATTTGTTTCTGGTTATGGACTAATTTGACAGAACATGTATCTGGTAGCCATTTTACATGTTATAGAAATAAAACTGCGATTGTGTAATTTGTAGGCATATGATTTGATCAATTAATACAAATTTGACAATACTTCTCTTTCATCCCACAATCTCTACATACCTAAAATTCATGATGGGAGTTTTGGCTGACAAGATTGATTTTGAAATTCCGTACACTCACTTTTTATTGTAAACGTGATTCTTCCCACTGCCTGTTACGATCAAGGTTTTTAACATGTTGCCCCGGGGATCCTGGCCGAATGTGCGGTAATGAGAAATATCAGGCATCTAAATCTTGTCAAGGTTGTAACTGCTTGCACTTGTTCAAGTGTTGATTTTTGGTACTGATTTTAAAGCTTTACTGTACGAGTTCATGGATATTGTTTGTTCAAAGGCATCACCATTGACGTTGCTTGTTCACCGGATTTCTTCATAATATCTGTGATACGCAAATTGTTCATTGTGATCTCAAGCCAAGCAATGTGTTTCTGGCTTTGGACTGGCAAGAGTTCTACCAAACTTGGCTGATAATGTTTTTGGAAATCAAACAAGTTCCATTGGAATAAGAGGAACCGTAGGTTATGCTGCTCCAGGTGTGTTTGGATTCGATATTTAGAATGGGGATCTCGTGTTCTGCTGAATCCCCAAGAGACCGAAAGTATAATAGTGATGTTGTAACCGAATTGCAATCCACAGTGAAGTTTTGTTGAAGCAGTAAATGAAGGTATATGCAAAGTCTCACCAAATAATGTATATAAGATTATCCTGTTAACAACAGCATTTATTTCCTTTATTTTTTTTACATCTTTTGATTTTGCGAAGCACCAATGTTACTTGCATAAAATCGTAATCTGATTGCAATCATCTGTTATTCTTGGTTCTGTTTCTTTTGATAAATTTAGCTGTTGCCACTGGCCAAGATGATGAACTCATTTTTAAGTCCTTTTTTTTGTAACTTTTGATCGTATTTTAGTTTCTCTGAGGCTTGAAATTGGAATCTCTTGTTCTGTTGAATCCCAAGAGACTGAAAAGAAAAAGTGATTTTGTCGGATTATTTGGCATCGTTTGTTAAATTGAGGATTTTTATCATTTTGAATCTTACTTAACTGTTTTTTTTAGAAAGATCAAAATAATTAATAGTGAATAAATATATGAATCACTTTTATTGATTCTAAATATATTTTTTGTCAGATTATAATTCCGCCAGAAACCAAGTCGATGAACCTGAATTCACCTTGTGTTAGTTTGGCCCACATTTCAATTTCATGAAAACAACATTGTGAATGGCTGCCAAAAACTGCATGTTCCATGTCGGCCCTAAGCTTTGTGAATTATTGGAGTTATAGTATGTTGCAATTAAATATTTTTTGTACGATGTAAACATCACCTGGGGACAAAAGGGTGTTATTGTTGCCTATCATTTCACCATGACAAAATAAAACTGTGCTCTTTCTGGCAAATAAGACAACCAAGAGTCGGGGACCTTGACCTACCAGACATCGTCAAATTTGATAAACTGATTGGCTGTCTCTCACTATTTCCTAAAAATAAACAAGCCAAATCACAAATAAGTCCTAAGTTTTATTGGTATTTCCTCTCCTCCACTCCCTAGTTTCTAGTTATCTTTATTGGAAATTCTATCATATATCAATAGTGTTTGGACCGCTAAATCGACGTAAGGTTTTGTGTGGCAGACTAAATCAACGTAAGGTTTTGTGTGGCAGACAACACTTTCAGTCTATGCTTAGGAATTGAAAAATTGACTGCTCATTTTAGTACAATAAAAACCTTTAGGCATTTTGTATACCATAAAAAAAATAAAAAATAAAAAATAAAAAAATAAAGGATTTCTAAGCGGACATTATTTAGTAGGATAAGACTTAGTTATCGTTGTCATTGTTTGATTTAGAAATATAATCACTCAATTAACAGAGTTCAAATCATACTCAAGCGGTTAAAATTACTGACAGATGTTAGTGTGTGAGTGGTTACCTTATAAGTGAATTGGATTGGTCCAGCTCAATAGGGTTTGTTAATTAGTAAGTATGTTATAGCAGTGCTCTGTAACTCTGATTTCTCTGTAACTTTGAGACATTCAATATTCTCGACATACAGAGATTTAATCCTTCTCTCAAATTTATTTATACCAATACAATACCAATTTCTTAACACTTGTAGAGACCCATGGGTACATTCACAAAGAAGAATCACACGTACAATTCGAATTTAGCAACTTATAACACAGTTTATTCTCGCACAATATACTGCCAGCATCTAATTAATTCTTTAAAAAATTATCTTAAGTACGGTAGGGTAGACTGGCTAGTTGATTAATTTAACCATGAACTGAGGCGTATCTGTCGATCAAAGCCAAAGCATTGCTAGTCAATTGTGCAATCTTGACAATCCTGCCCCCCACAATAGTCTTCAACTTCCCATTCATCCCATTTTCCTCAAACCCATCAGAGCAGGTGGTCTCATCCGTCAAAGCCGCACTGACCCAAGTTTGTACATCACTTATCATAAGCTGAAAATCAGAGTTTTTAAAGCTTCCCATCCCAGCTATAGACCTCTTAAGCTCATAAACCGAATCACTTAACTCTTCGACACAGTCCCTCATAGCTTCTACTTCTTTGGGCTCCATTCCATGGCTGTGGGAGAGCTTTGACATCATGGTAGAGGTTGATTTGGCAGAGGCAAGCGTCACGTTAAGGGCTGCGCATGCCATAAGTTTAGGGCTTGTTTGGATTGCACCAGCATGGCTTGAAAGAGAAGTAAGGCAAAGCTTTGGGTAGGTTGTTGCACTGCAAGATGTTTTCATGAATTCATTGTTGGTTTTTTGTGCATCGTTTCTAGCTACTGAGGGTGAAGAGAATATGCAGCAAGTAAAAGAAAGTGTTAAGAGAAAAGATGTGACAAAAGATGATGATGCCATCTCCTTTTTGTGTGAAGAGAGATTAGGGAGGGAATGGTGCCAATTTATAGAACTAATCTTAAAAATAAAATAATAGTGATGATAATAATAAAAATGTACGTGATCATTCTAGCCGTCCAAAAAGGAACATGGTAAAAAAAATTTGGGGCCTGAAGCTAGAAATACTTATGTCTTTCTTTTGAATAGTTATACAGAGACTAAATTCTTTTAAAATTAAATTTATAAACTAAATGATATATCATAAATTATTTAGTTTTTAAATTTAGTTTAAAATTTTGATCTCCCTATCATTTTTCCTTTTATTTTTAAGTTAACAATCGATTTTCTTATCTTCACCAAGAACACACAGTTATAAAAACAGGACATGGTTAAACAAAATTGTGGCTTTAATAAAATTTTACCCGAGTAAAACTACATGGGAAAAAATCGGGTGCAGAAAAAACAGTTAACCCTTGCCAACTCAATTATAATAATAGGGAATTGACCTTCCAAAATTTTCATTTTGCACTCTAAACTTTTCATATTTAAAAATAACAAATACACTTGTAAGAAGTGTAAAATAAGATTTGAAAAAAAAGAAAAAAGAATACCAGTTCCCTAATATTATCATCGGATATACAACTTACGAGCCAAGGTACGTGGTCCGACGTTTTCCAATAAGAAAATCCTATTACAACTCTCTCTCTCTCTCTCTCTCTCTCTCTCTCTCTCTCTCTCTTCCATTTCCAAAAATCATTCAAAACATCCATTTTAATGGTTTCATCATCCTTTGCAATTGTTCTTTAATGTTATGTAGCATTAAGTAGTACCGAAAAATGAATAGATGAGATAAAAAAAATGATCTAATAGTTGTAAAAATTTGCTAATGGCTAAAACACCCTTAATACTAAGTACTACGTAGCATTAAAATCACACATTATTCTTTAACCAAACAGCATCTAAAACTTTATTGAATTATTGAAAAATTAAGCTTTTTTATATACAGTTTCAAGACCAACTTCTCAATATATACTATTATGCTTGGTTGCTTACAGAACCACACGTACATTTACCCAAAAAGAGAGCTACACTTGCAATTCTAGTGTACGTAGCAAATTTAGAACACAGTTTCTTATTAAACAATATAATATTGCATGCACCTAATTCTTCAAAAATTATCTTAAGTAGAGCCGTTGATATGTTTAACCATGAACTGAGGCATATCTATTGACCAAAGCCAAAGAATTGCTAGTCAATTGTGCGATGTTCACAATTCTGCCCCTCACGACAGTCTTCAAATTGCCATTCATCAAATTTCCACCAAACCCATCAGAGCAAGTGGTCTCATCTGTCAAAGCAGCACTAACCCAAGTTTGCACATCACTTATCATGAGCTGAAAATCCGAGCTCCTGAAGTTGCCCATCTCAGCTATGGACCTTTGAATCGCATCAACCGAATCACTTAACTCTTCGACGCAGTCCCTCATGGCTCCGACTTCTCTAGGCTTCATGCCATGGCTTTGGGAGAGTTTCAACATCATGATAGAGGTTGATTTGGCGGAGGCAAGCGTCACGGTGAGGGCTTCGCTGGCCATAAGTTTCGGGCTTGTTTGGATTGCATTGGCATGGCTTGAGAGGGAAGTAAGGCAAAGTTTTCGGTAGATTGTTGCACTGCAAGATGTTTTCAAGAATTCATTATTGGTTTTTTGTGCAAGGTCTCTAGCTGCTGAGGTTGAAGAGAATATGTCGCAACTAATGAAAAATGCTATGAGAAAAGATGTGACAAAATGGCTAGAAGATAAGGATGCCATCTCTTTTGTGTCTTTGAATTCTAGAGGCAGTGGAGTAATAGTGAAGAGAGTAGGAAGGGAATAACACTAATTTATAGAACCATTTTGAAAATAAAAAAATTTGAAATAATAATGATAATAATAATAAAAATTCAAATGGATAATTTTAGCAGTCCAAAAAGGCACACGAAAACATAATTTTTGGGGCCCAAAAGCTGGAGACACATCTGTTTGCAAGATGGGTTTTTTGGTTTCTTCCTCGTCCACCTGCTGCAATTTGGTCAATTTGGGTCTAAACTCGAAAGCAATGTGAAACAAAAGAGCCTTACTCGGACTTATCTAAATCATTGTAAATTTGTAATCTATCGATCCCAACTTGATTGGCAAGTGAAGACATTCAACTTATGCGTAATTTGCATCTGTCTTTCAGTCGACATGTATTCAAATTATACAATTAAATCTCTCCTTTAATTTAACGTGGCACTTCCAAAAGGAATTTAATGCATGGAAGGGCCCATATGGATAATGAAAGCAGCTGAAGATTTTTATGATAGAGTAGAGGATAGGATGCGGTGACACATGTTTTTTAATACATCAGTCATAGATTATTATTTCAAAAAATTAGACGAATCTAAAACCATTAAGACATGCATCTGTAGTTTACAAAATAGAAGAATACGGTTCTATGTACAAATAAACACTAAGTTTAATCCAACGGTCATATGGTTTTAGATTTGAGTGATTTTTGGTAAACATAATCATTGAGGAAAGACCTAAAAGATAGACTGTTCGGATCATTAATAACTTAATACATTAAGAAATGTGCCTACGAAAATATATGTCAAAAGCTCGTGTTCCCAAATTCTAATTCTATTTATAAATATCACAAATGTCGTAACTTAGCTGTGGCTAGCCTTGATTTAATGTTGTAACTTTGTTGTGACTTAGGTGCATTGTAAGTCGCTTTCTATACTGTTTGTAAAAGAATTAAAAACACAGTTTTACCTAATTTTCATGGTTTTAAGATCATGATGCAGCACACGTCATAGTGCAACCCACTAACAGCTTATAGCTTCTTTTTAATTATATTTAGATTTCGAGTCTTACATTTATGCTTTGCATAGTTATCGTATTTTGTTTAATTCAACTATTATTATAATAATCCAATGATTTATGTGCATGAATATCATACCTTTCTCAAAACAAAACAAAAAATACTTAATTATAGTTAATGTGTCATGTGATAAATTGTTGTTTTATTATAATAGTGGAGATTTAACGAAATGCTAATAAATGCGCAAAACCTAAATATAACCCACTTGGAATCCATTTTATGTATATATTTTTTTTTGTGTGAAGGGGATATTATAGTTAGGGAGTTTTAACAAAACACTCTTAATACTGTTCACTTTTAACGAAAAATCACATTTATACATTTCACTAGTACTATTCACTATACCTTTAAAAATGGTTTTATTTTTTTATATTAAAAGTGAAGTTTTTTTGAACTTTTCGTTAGTTTTCCTTTGTATTTAACCTCACCAGTTACAAGTGAATTTTGGTAAACAATATTTAACAAAAAGGTGCAGCATCACCACCAAACATGAGATATTTTTCCCCAATACACCAAGTGTAATAATGCAATTAGTTAAAAACTTGAACAAAAAAAATTACAACCAATTATATTACGGCACTTGGTGTACATGCCGTATTCCAGCACGTTGAAAAACTTTTCCCAAAACATATAAGGGAATTGTTATTAGCACTCCAAAAATCTCATTTGGCACTTCAAACTTTCCATAATTAGAAAGAAAAATACATTTGTGAGGAGAGTAAAATAAGATTTTTAGAGTGATAATAACAATTCCCAACATATAATTGAGTAGACTCTTGTACCCATAATAGCAAACTTAATAAAAGGTGGAATGGATCTTCTCCAGATCCCTTTCCATCAAATCCACCTAGTTCGGGATTCGGACATTTAGATTTTGATCAAATGGCTGCAGTTATTATAATTTTTAAAAGGGCTCCTGACCCGGATTCCGGACCAAGTGAATTTGATGAAAAAGGATCCGGATCCCTTTCCATAATAGGTGATCTTATTCCAAAGCAAATTTAGAATAGGCAAAGTTCTTGAAAAAATTGATCATGCACATTCAACGAGGGAAATAAAGAAAGATACGTACAGGTCATTCATTTGTATTCTTAGTTGTGCCTAAGTTTACTGAAAAACAAAAGTGACTCCAACTTCTGATCCATATGAAAAAACATCCTGATGAGAAGGATATCATTTCGATCAGGCTTTAACAATAGTCAAAATATAGAAAATCATAAAAAAGCATAGCATTACAAAAATAAGACTTTAAAATATAAATTCATTTAATTATCTCAATATAAGACACATGCATTGTGGAAACTTAATTGTATGGTAATACTAATCCACACGAAAATCATGGTGTTGTAAAGTGGGAATGTTAATTAATTTTTGTGCCCTCTTTCAAAATGGCCCAAGAAACAACACTCACTGGAAATTTTCTCAAGACCATATTTTTCCAAGGCAGAAAAGCTAAAATCGTGAAAAAGAGGAGGGTAAACTTGATATTTAAAAAGTTGCCAGGGACCTCTACGTCAAGAAGTTTATGTTTATTTTTGGCTGCATAAACTTCTTATCCTTCTTTTTGGTACAATTGAGGAAATCGAACCATGAATTTATCCTAATCTTAACGAGAAATCTAATAATTAACGATGATCATTACATTAATGAAAAAAAAAAAACACAAATCCTTGCTTCTTCCATAAATCATGTGATTGAGAAGTTAACATTAACAGGTAGACTTGATCAGTTGCTTTGCTCATTGATCGAGGTGGATGCTTCATAATCCAATTTTAATTGATCAGTTGCTTATGCTGATGAGCGACCGCATCCACAAGCACCTCCACACCAACCGCCCGTCGTCCCGCAGCGTTTCGCGCTACTCTACAATGCATTGCATGCAGACTCCATGTGCCATGCGCGCACGTTCTTCTTTTAGGGTTTTGACTTTGCTCCTTATATACGGTCCTGTATGATGCGTACGTGTCCACATGTGAATCTTGTGATACATCGCATACAGCAACCTTCAACCTCACGCGAGCGGCGGCAAGTGAAGATTAATGAAGAGCCGGCTGCCTGCCTCTAGAAACGGAATCGTCCTTTTAGTTGCGGAAAAGGATCCTGGCCGGATCTTTTTGTTAGGAATCCCAGGATCGTGGTCGTTCATTGTAATTCGTGCAGTTATAAATTATTTGAAATTTAAAATTTAAAATTAAATATAAATAGTACCTAACGAAAATTGACCGCACGATGTACGATAAACGGTCACGATCACGGAATTCCCAGGATTCCCAGAAAAAGGATCAGGATCCTTTTCCTTTAGTAGCAAATGCAAATTATATTCCTTTCAATAAAAAATTAACTCCCCTCAAAACATATGTCCACCCTCAGCATTTTCTTTCTTAGCTTATTTGGCACGTTGCTATACGTTCCATTGAGGTATTGATTGGTCTTGGTTTGACATGATTCATGATGAGTTTGTAATTGTGAATTCTTGTGATGTTTTTTTTTGCATGTGTGACCTCTTGATTATATTCAACATGTTTTTATTATGTACATTTTTTATAATTTCTAATAAATTTTATATTACCTCAAAAATAAAATTCATGTAGAACACTAATATAAGGCTCAGCGTATTTGTCAACGATAGATTTTGTTAGATTATATGTTAGATTAGCCACCAACGGGGTTTAAACACACGTCATCATGCAAGGGCTCGACACCTTTCCACCACTGTGGTAAAGGGCCACTTGCAAATGCGCTTTTAAATTACCAAACATGTCTCTGTAGGAGTTTTGAGTAGAAATCTCATTCTATCTCATTATCCCACATTGGTCACATTTCTCACTTTATAACACTTTGTCCCTCTTACCAAATTGATTAGAAAGATGGATCATGGAAAGCAAGATTGGGTTGGTTTTGAGTGTGATAATTAATATATAATTTATTAATTTCATATTTTAATTATATATTTTTTATATCAACAGACTCATCTTTTTGGATGAACTTTGAAGATGACGAAATAACACCAAGAGTTACATACCCCTCTGGGCAGATGCCTCCCAGAAATGCATCCCAAATTTATACTTGTTGCAAATAGGCATATATACATTATATATACATTCATTTGCATTGCATTTTAGTACACAGAAAACTACATCTTTCCCTCTAAAAAACCAAAACCTTCTTACTAAGAGAACCACAATTATATTCGCCAGAAGTCAATTTTCTGGTGCTGAGATATTGACTTAGATCGTTAAATCCTAGTGAAGCAAACGTTTATTGAACTACAAGCACATATTTGTCACAACCCGGCCCGGCCCCCACCACAACCCGGGCTCGACTCCACCGTAGCACGATATTGTCCGTTTTGAGCCCCGACCACACCCTCACAGTTTTGTTTCTGGGAACTCACATGAGAATTTCCCAGTGGGTCACCCATCCTGGGATTGCTCTCTCGCAAACTCGCTTAACTTCGGAGTTCCTACGGAACCCGAAGCTAGTGAGCTCCCAAAAAGCATCGGGTTAGGTAGAGATGGGAATATACATATAAGGCTTACAAGATCCATTCCCCTGGGCGATGTGGGATGTTACAATCCACCCCTCTTAGGGGCCCGACGTCCTCGTCGGCACACTTCCGACTAGGGATTGGCTCTGATACCAAATTGTCGGCCCGAGCCCCCACCACAACCCGAGCTCGACTCCACTATAGCACGATATTGTCGGCTTTAGGCCCCGACCACGCCCTCACGGTTTTATTTCTGGGAACTCACACGAGAACTTCTTAGTGGGTCACCCATCCTAGGATTGCTCTCTTGCAAACTCGCTTAACTTCGGAGTTCCTACGAAACCCGAAGCCAGTGAGCTCCCAAAAGGCCTCATGCTATGTAGAGATGAGAATATACATATAAGGCTTACAGGATCCACTTCCCTGGGCGATGTGGGGTGTTACAATCCACCCCCCTTGGGGGCCTGA